TCAGTCCATCAACGTTGATTCTAACCATGGTATATGCTGCAGCCTCCATACAGACAGGCTGCAATTTGTCACCATTTGATTGAGTCAGGTTTATGCCTGTGTTTGTCACAGTTGTGATCACTGTTAGATGAGGCAATAGTTATTTCATCAGTGCCTTAGGTTTTAGATGTCCAAACATTCTGGTGTAGCCCATCAAGTTCCCTAGCACTCAGTTGAGGATAACGTGAGGTATTTTTATGGCAGACAGAAAAAATCTTTTTCTTACCACAAATCCTCTGAAACCATTGAACGATTAATGTGTGAAATACATTTATGTATGTATTCAGGATTAGCAGCTAAGTTGTTATGTCATTAGATGGTCAGAAAATGGTTTTGCCCTTTAAATATAGCTGGGCATGCAATATGTGATAAAAAGTACTATAGAAGTGTGTACATTGTGGTGATATTATAAGTTCCCTGTCTGGACTACAACAGCCTGGTAATACCGTTAGTTGAGTCATCAGTTCTGTGAAGTAGTGCCTCGGTAGAGTACCAGGAACACAAGTGTTCAAGCTGAAAGGCAATGCCTGTCGGGGTTCTTCAACCTGTATTATGAGCTATACAGCATGTCCGATATATATTGTCACCTTGAAATGAAGCTAGCTGTCTCTTTATTTGATTAAGGTATTTACTGATGCCTACCCTTGTAAAAATGTGCAGTTCATTAAATAGAAATTAAAAGAGGAGAAACCATATACAAATGTATTGATTTTCTGTATTCATACATGTATATAGTAATTGGTGTTTTCTTTTCACTTACACTTTTTTATCAATACACCAAGTATGAAACATGTTACATAAATCTGGGGAAAAGCCTTGTGGTTAGGATCCAGTACTACCACCCAACCATCCCTTTTCATTTCTGGTTTTAGGATTCCAGTCCCAGTTGCCTTGGTGAAAGTGTGAGTGTGTGTTACCACACTACCACTAAACCATTCCTTGAAAAATGCAGAAATGGGGAATGATCAAATTTCATGATCATTAATCAGGTGTTTAAACAGATTGGTTTTAGGTATGAGAGATGTTCATTTCCATGGATGTTTAGTTCTGACAACGTTAACCTCAGCCTTGTATACTTAAAAATGTGGACATTTTTGTCTGAAGACAGGAATAAATCTGATCACACAAACAATAGATAGATATTGAATAAGGCCTTGCTTTTACCTTTGGAATACAGAGACATGAATTGATCTAAGGGTTTTAAATGAACTGTCTGGATCAATGTTGACTGCAAAGTTTTACTAAATTTAATGAAATAAGTTCCTAAACGAAAGGTTTTGAGTAAATCCAGTTATATAAATGAATTAAGAATGGAATGTATATCTGTGATTCAGAATTTTTACATGAATTTGGACATCATGAATGAATTTATGATAATGGAGGGTAGAATTCTTCAAAAGCCAAAAGTGAAATCAGTCATAAAATTTGGGGTGTATTATAGGTATGCGAGATGATAAATTGGCTTGATGTGATTTGGTGTAATAACTGTAAGCCTGAATGAAACGTTACTTGTCAGGGTAACTTCAGCATATCACACAGGGCAGTAGGTGTAATTACAGGTGTATTTAGTAAGGTAATGTAAGTCTTACTTTATACTTGTTAAATCAACTACAATGATTGGCATTTATCATTTTTAGTACCCCATTTTTTATCCCTCCTCATTCATATAATTTCAGTGAGATACCAAGACAATGAGGTTGAATTGTGAACTAGTTTTCTCTCGAGTAACCTTGTCATGTAGATCATGTTCAAATCGCATGTTACAGTCCCATTGAAGAAAGCAGCAATGACATAGCCATGTTTATTTAACATCAAAAATTAAAGCCTGATAAAGATGTATTTAGTTACTTCCTGTTATTCATTTAAGGTAACTGTAGATAAAGATTGATATGTATAGTGATCTGTAATTCATACACATGAAAAATATGGTGTGAATTTCAGTTTAGAAAAAATGATAGCTGTACATGTAACATGAATTTTGATATTTATTGATAATTTAGAACTACGAAGAGACAGTCTAAGAAGGTATACAATAGTAAGTGTATATATTTTAGTCAGGACCTGTTGTATATCCTACCCTAGTCAGGACCTGTTGTATATCCTACCCTAGTCAGGACCTGTTGTATATCCTACCCTAGTCAGGACCTGTTGTATATCCTACCCTAGTCAGGACCTGTTGTGTGTCCTACCCTTGTCAGGACCTGTTGTGTGTCCTACCCTTGTCAGGACCTGTTGTATATCCTACCCTAGTCAGGACCTGTTGTATATCCTACCCTAGTCAGGACCTGTTGTATATCCTACCCTAGTCAGGACCTGTTGTGTGTCCTACCCTAGTCAGGACCTGTTGTGTGTCCTACCCTTGTCAGGACCTGTTGTGTGTCCTACCCTTGTCAGGACCTGTTGTGTGTCCTACCCTTGTCAGGACCTGTTGTGTGTCCTACCCTAGTCAGGACCTGTTGTATATCCTACCCTAGTCAGGACCTGTTGTGTGTCCTACCCTTGTCAGGACCTGTTGTGTGTCCTACCCTTGTCAGGACCTGTTGTGTGTCCTACCCTAGTCAGGACCTGTTGTATATCCTACCCTAGTCAGGACCTGTTGTGTGTCCTACCCTTGTCAGGACCTGTTGTGTGTCCTACCTTTGTCAGGACCTGTTGTGTGTCCTTCCCTTGTTAGGACCTATTGTGTGTCCTACCCTAGTCAGGACCTGTTGTATATCCTACCCTTGTTAGGACCTATTGTGTGTCCTACCCTAGTCAGGACCTGCTGTATATCCTACCCTTGTCAGGACCTGTTGTATATCCTACCCTAGTCAGGACCTGTTGTGTGTCCTACCCTTGTCAGGACCTGTTGTGTGTCCTACCTTTGTCAGGACCTGTTGTGTGTCCTTCCCTTGTCAGGACCTGTTGTGTGTCCTACCCTAGTCAGGACCTGTTGTACATCCTACCCTTGTCAGGACCTGTTGTATGTCCTACCCTTGTTAGGACCTATTGTGTGTCCTACCCTAGTAAGGACCTGTTCTATATCCTACCCCTGTCAGGACTTATTGTGTGTCCTACCCTAGTCAGGACCTGCTGTATATCCTACCCTTGTCAGGACCTGTTGTGTGTCCTACCCTTGTCAGGACCTGTTGTGTGTCCTTCCCTAGTCAGTACCTGTTGTGTGTCCTACCCTAGTCAGGACCTGTTGTGTGTCCTACCCTAGTCAGGACCTGTTGTGTGTCTTACCCTAGTCAGGACCTGTTGTGTGTCCTACCCTAGTCAGGACCTGTTGTATATCCTAACCTAGTCAGGACCTATTGTGTGTCCTACCCTAGTCAGGACTTGTTGTGTGTCCTACCCTAGTCAGGACTTGTTGTGTGTCCTACCCTAGTCAGGACTTGTTGTGTGTCCTACCCTAGTAAGGACCTGTTGTTTGTCTACCCTAGTCAGGACCTGTTGTTTGTCCTAACCTAGTCAGGACTTGTTGTGTGTCCTACCCTAGTCAGGACCTGTTGTGTGTCCTAACCTAGTCAGGACCTGTTGTTTGTCCTAACCTAGTCAGGACCTGTTGTTTGTCCTAACCTAGTCAGGACCTGTTGTTTGTCCTACCCTAGTCAGGACCTATTGTTTGTCCTACCCTAGTCAGGACCTATTGTGTGTCCTACCCTAGTCAGGACTTGTTGTGTATCCTACCCTAGTCAGGACTTGTTGTGTGTCCTACCCTAGTAAGGACCTGTTGTTTGTCCTAACCTAGTCAGGACCTGTTGTTTGTCCTAACCTAGTCAGGACCTGTTGTGTCTTTTACCTTTAAGTCCCTGTTGCTGATCAATGAATCTCTTGTACAGATACAGGGATTAATTTCTCTCTGTGCAGTGTGGAAAGTTTTTTGCACATTTTGTTACAAATCTCTTCTCATCTCATCTTGTACATTGTAATTCTGTTTTAGAATGCTGTGATTTACTCTGATAAATGTCATCACTGATGAAGCTGCTTGTGGATTTAATTCCCGATCCTTGGGGGGAAAATAATGATGAAAAAGCAGAATCATCACAGCCTTCTTGTAATGTGTTTGTATTGAGAATTACAAATTACCTATGGCTTGATTTGACATTGTAAGACTTCTCTGTTCTACTAATCTGTTGAACAGTTCCATACATGCTTCATATTACAACAGTACAAAGCTGAGTTCAAACCTAACAGAACACTGATATATCTGTTACAAAATAGAACTGACCTTCTGTATGTGATCACTGCTAACATGGCCAGTTGATTAACAATTACAGATTTATTTTGTTATTGGAAAAGACCTGTAACATGGTATTTGACAAACTTTTAAACAAAATATTTTGATGGAGATGAATCAGACTTGTAATTTCTTTTGCAAACTTTTGATTTTGACGATAGATCTTGATATAGGTCAAGATATACTTTTGATAGTATTGTCAAATCTATCTGACAAGGGGTATATGGTGTTTATTGTAGTTATAAAGAAGTACAGGAGAGATATTGAAACCTTTCTGTTGTACAATGTCATTCGCTATAGATATCAACATATGGGCTGATGAACACCAAAGGGTGAATGGGTTACAAAAACAACATGCTTTTACAAAGAATTCAACAATATGCTGATGTTTTTATTGGGTCAACAGTCTCAGTGGCAAGGTTAAACACAAAAAAAGATCATGATGAATCAAGATAAAAAGCCTAATTAATACTCTATCTGCCACCACGTTTATGATTATCTTCAGTCTATTGAAATAAATATAGAAACTGATTACCTGTTCGATTTTGGTTTATTTGTTGTATTTATTGAGTTTGAAGTGTTGAATCATAAACATCAACAACCAGAGCCGAGTGTATGCTAAACATGATATGTAGCAAGTGAATATAAGGACTTTGAAACATTTTGAAACTTCTATTATGAATAAAATACAATTGTGAAAGATAATACTAACAAAGAATTATGTTTGGTTTATTTCCAGATTCCCTCCTGCAGACACGCCCCCTCCCAGATGCGCCCTCTATTGGTGATGTTCTCAACACAAAATGGATGTCGAAAGAGAATCTGTTGGCCAGTCAGAACGAGGATGATCCAAATCTCTTTGTTGCCCTTTACGACTTTCAGTCAGGGGGAGACAACCAGCTCAGCATTGTTAAAGGTATCTGTCCCCAGGAAGGTTGGAGGGCAATGATTTTTTTGATACAGTATAGGAGATCAACTTTGGATAATCATCTTTATTTGATGTCGGATAGGAGACCTAGATTTGATATGTGATCACTCATTTTTTAGATCTTTCAAGGGAAACTGTGTTATTTGTGGTTAACAGTTGAGAGAGTTAACGTTGTTCAATACTGTAGTTGTATCAGTTTCTCACATTTCTAGTATTTGAAATTTTTCCAGTGATCAAGATGACATTGAATTTATATATTTAGATTGTATGATGGTTGGTTTCAACACAAACAAGATAATTGAAGTGTCAGAATTAAAAAAAATAAATCTTTACAGATCTACTGCTCAAAGACTAGAAGCAAATTCTGAGACAAAAGTGTAGCATGTAAACATAAAAAGATAATTTTGTATGTTGATCAAAGAGAATTTTAAACGACTTTCAAACCGTTTTGTAAATTGAAGTTATCCCGTGTTTGCTAATAGGTTTTATATGGTTAGAGCGACCTATTCCTGTTTTCTCATCGAAGAGATAAAGGTTTTGTCATGTGTAGTATACATGTTCGAAATCAATACTGTTACATATATGTAAATGTTTCAAGTCCCATGCTGGTGACTTCATGGCCTTGATAATTTTCCTTTCCAGTTGCTAAAAATGACATTTTGGACCTTGTGATAAGGAATAAGCATATACAAGTAATTTGGATGGTTCAGAAATTAACATTCCTCAATTAGCTAGGATCCTTTAGAAGGTAGATGTCATTGTCTTCAAAAGGTCACCATCCAATCATTCTGTTTGAAGTATTTTAGGGATGAAACATATAGGAGGTGCCACATTGATTGACATACGGGATATATATAGAAATGCTATAATTTTGAGTAAACAGATGAATCATCGGTAGGACAGTGTGTTATACTGATCAAGATGTTACATAACAACAATATGAATAAACCCCAAATCTTGTCATGACAGTTTAGGAAACATTGGAGAAAAATGTGTATCACATCAGTAAGAATGATGTTTGTTTTAAGGTCATTTCGCTAATGATAACAAACGTTGTCCAAAGAAATGTTGATGTAGGAAATTTTTAATTTTCAAAACATTCTGTTTTCAATATAAAATTATAAGAACATGTAATGTTTGCAAGAGTAAAGGTGATGTTAGGGAAGTTTTTATGCAGTGGACATAGAAACAGTTGATTAAGCGTCACTGCCTTTAGCAATAATGCTGAATTAACTGAATATCTTCATTAAGGATACCATGGTTAGCAGAACTGTCATCTTTCTGAAAATGAAAAGGTAAACATTCCGAGAACAAAGACGAGAATCAGCCTTTCTTCCCCAATAAAGCGTCATTGAAATGATATTTGTAACGACATCATGGAATTAAAATGGAGTCAGGTGTCTTAAAATCATTAATTAGGACAGGATATTGATTAGAATACAATGAACAGGATGTGTCTAACCTTGGATACAATAATGGAATTAATTACTGGACATAAAAAGTTAGCGATTGTAACATTGAACCCAGATTAAACACTCTGTAGACAGTATTAAACATCAGCGATTGGCCGATGGGTTTGATGTCAAAAATATATTTTGTCATGTCTTGCTGTACAAGAGTGTAATAGACCTTAACGTTTGTAGCAAATTACTTTTCCAGCTGTTTGTTTGACAGATTTTTTTTTAAACCAAATTGTTAACATAAATATTCAATTACATTTGTTGTATGGGACACTTAGGAATAAATGTGAAATGAATAATTTTACCGGTATATGTTTATGATTTCTCGAATGAAAATCATTTGACTGATAAAACTGATTATCTTCTGTGACTTTCTTAGTTGCTTATCTCCCTTAACTGACAAAATTGGTATTTCCTGTGACTTACAATTATTTTCCCCATTTAAAATATGTAATTATTAAGTGTCTATCTCCATTGACTGCTAGAGTTTATGAGTTATCTCCCTTGATGGTCTAAGCTGGCTATCTCTCTTGACTATTTTACCTGTTAGTTCTAAAGAATTGGCACTAATTACTACTGGAAGGAATGATCTTCCTGGATGTCTTATTATTTTAATGCAGGACATTTAAGCTCACGTTCCCAATTGACTGTTATAAGATTTCCCTTTTCTCCCTTGAGTATAAGAGTGAATTATCTCCCTTGACTACTTATTATACTTTATGGATTTGGATGAATGATGAGCACTTCCCATGTTTCTCCTGATTGTTGTAATTGTGATGATGTAGTCGTAACTTGAAAGCTTTACTGTACTTTTTGTGTTATTATTACATTTCTTTCCTGTCTGCAAATTTTCACTTTGTCTATAGCAGTGTAGAAGTAGTGATTTCCTTCCTGCTGAAAATCAACTTGTTAGTCCTTTTACATTTACGTATTTCAATTTGATATTCATTTTGCATCTTGTCTACTTTTCTGTTGATTTTCCTCCTTAGTTGGTCTTTCTGTAACATTTTGTTATCATACTTGTATATATCTACATTACCTATTCTAATACTGAATTGGGGATTGATTAGAATGAATAGGGTGAAAAGATGTTTGATAATTTGTTTAAAACATGTAATTTGAATTATTACGTATATTGTTAAGTTTTTGTTTGCTTTTTTAAGACAAGTGCTGCGATGATTTTGGTGTTCATTTTGATGTTATATTTGGTCACTTACTGAAACAGTGTGTAGTTGTTTACATGGTGAGAATCAGATGCTGTGATCTCCAGTATGACTAGTACAATCATCAATGTGTTACGTACAGTGAAACATCAGTCTAGGGTTACTTTTCACTCTTTTGCCAAATTATTTATTTTACAGTGTTGAATTTGCCCTAAAAGCATAGCCTACATTTCAGCCTCCGCTGTAAACTTTGGTCACTGTAAACGGCAATCTTATTTTTGAATTATTGACAAGAATGAATTGATTGAAAGTTAAACTGAAGTAAAAGTTTCCACAGTAGCACCTCTCAACCATCAACAAGTTTGTTTTTGATGTTGTGTTTGTTTGGTTTTAGATGTTTCATCAGTTCTTTGACGTGTTGTAGCTTATTTTTGTAAAATTCGATGCTCTTTTTCTGTAGTGAATATTTCCTTTTCCTTTATGAATAGCTTCTAGTGTTAGTGTCTGCATTTTGCACGTTGGCATGATGCATGTTGAAGACTGAACAAAGGACAAACTTGAGACTAGAATAAGTATATATCTAACTATCAGACATCATCACTGCAGGTGAACAGGTGACCATCTTGGGCTACAACAAAGGAGGTGAATGGTGCGAGGTCAAGAACAAGGCTGGTGACATCGGCTGGGTGCCTAGCAACTACATTGCACCTGTCAACAGTCTTGACAAATTTTCTTGGTACCATGGACAGATTTCTCGGAATGCATCTGAATATCTGCTCAGTAGTGGCATCAATGGCAGCTTCCTGGTCAGGGAGAGTGAGAGCAGCCCCGGTCAAAGGTCAATATCAGTTCGGTTTGAAGGAAGGGTCTACCATTACAGGATAAGCGAGGATTCAGATGGAAAGGTAGACTTATATGTCAATGTTTCTCATTTTAAAGATCTGCTTTATTTCATACAGTCAAATATTGTTCTAGAATGGACAATTTAGATAAAAGTTTTTCCATTTTCATGACATCTGTTTGTAAGATCACCTTGAGATATTTGAACTTTTTCATAAAACGTTTCTACTGGTCTTCAAATAATCCATGTATACAATACACTCTTAGTTAATGTGACTGATAAATACTTTAAAGATGACAAAGAATGCTATACTTCAACAACTAAACAATAACAAGGTAGTCATATGTGTTTTCATGTTGGAAGATAAATTTTCATGGAAGTGTTGTAATTTTTCAGAATTGTTTATTATCACTTTGCATCAAGTGACCATGGTATTCCAAGAGTAACATGTTTCTGTTTTGTTGGTTAAAATTGTTTCTCAGCTGTGTTGCTGAAATTTAGGACAAAAGAGGTTAAAATTCATGAAATAAGAAAAGAAAACTCATTTTGTGTTGGTTACTCTTGTTTTCAATACCAGAACTTCTGGGCCAAATTTCTAGAAAATAAAAAATTGGTTTTAAGAAGGTAACATCTGGGATTCCAGCTTCAGATCATGAGTTCTCTTTATTTGCTGTGCAGCAGTTGAAGAGATTAGGAGTTCAGGGATGAGGTGTCAGTTTTCATCAAGAAATTAAACTGGCCATAATTGATTTGGAAAAGGATACCATGGAAACTTCATAATTTTATTTCAGCAATATTGATCAGACAGTCAACCTCAGTGCTCCATGTTGCGAAACCAATTAATTTCGTGAAATGCAGACAGATCTGCAAAAATTATTGTTGATTGTCATAGAATAGAATTGACGTGGTTTAGCTGTAAGGGGCAAATTGTCCTGTCAGATATCATTTGTTATTTCTGTTTATGAAAATTATCTTCAAAAATCAGCTGTTGGGTTTTCATGTGGTTTCAGAAAAAATTTGAAAAAAAGGATTTGAATGTCATGAATTATATGCATAGAAAAATCCAGAAGTGCAGGACATTTTATAAGAAATACAATGTATGTGACAAGTTTTGTATGCTATCATAATCAATCTTCAGCATTATAAACCATAGATTAAAAACATGTACATGATAATAATTCATGATATTTGAAATTAATTTAGAGGTTTTGTGTATCTGTGACAGGTATTTGTGACCCAGGAGCACCGCTTTAACACTCTGGCAGAGCTTGTCCACCACCACTCCATACATTCAGATGGCCTGGTTACCACACTATTATACCCCGCACCAAAACGCACCAAACCTACTGTATTTGGCCTCAGTCCTGAGCCAGACCGATGGGAGATCGAACGCACGGAAATTGCAATGAAACACAGGCTAGGTATTTGTCAACATTGTAGAAGTTACTGGTGAAAGTGCAAATGTTTAATTTTTACATACAATATCAATGCCCTGCATATTAATATGCCCACAGAGATCATGTTGATAATGGAATCCCAAGGAAAAATTTGTACCCTCCACAAAAATTTGTGACTGGACATATTATGGAACATGATGTCGTCCATCTGTCATCAACTTTAATTTTTGCAGAGATCTTCTCCCACATTTTTCAACCAATCACTTTCATACTTGGTAGGCTTAATCACCTTAACACAAAGTTGTTTTTGCTGAATTTCAGTTTGATTCCTCTACATTTAGAAAAGTTACTGCCCCTTGTTGATTTTATGATATGTTCATCTTGTCTGGAGATCTCCTTAACCAATTTCTTTCAAGCATTGTATGCTTAATCACCATAACATGAAGTTGTGTTTTCCTGAAGGACAGTTTGAATCAACTGTATTTAAGGGAGTCACTGCCTTTTGTTGTTTTCATAGTGTTAATCTTGTCCAAAGATCATCTCTCTCAGTTTTCAAATGATTTGTTTCAAACTTGGTTGGCCTATACACCATGGAATGTGTTTGTTTGATTCAGTTTGGAAGAGATACTGCCCCTTTTTGTTTTGATGATGCTTATCTTGTCCAAAGAAAATTCTGTTTTCACCTATTTCTTTCAAACTTAATAGGCTTAACAACCATGAATGAAGCTATGTTTTCCTACACGTCAGTATGATTCAGCAGTTTTTGAAGGAGTTGTTGCCCTTTGCTTTTCTGGCGTTTTATTTTTATATAGAGATCTACTTCTTAAGTCTTCACCATTTTTTCTGAAACTTGAAAGGCTTTATAACCATATAATACCGTGTTTTCCTTAATGACATTGTGAGTTTACAAGTTTGATAAGAGTTATTTTTCTGTTTTTTAATTGTTTTTTATCTTGTCAAAATATCTCTTCCTTCAGTTTGTTCAGAGTTTTTTTTTTCCAGTTTTCCATACATCTCATGAAAACTTGGTATACTGTTTTCCCTGAAACCTTCTTGACTCATTATAACCATTTGGGTTTATTTCTTTGACATGGGACAGCAGTATATTGTTCTGCTGGCAGTATTCTTATTTTGCTTGTAACAGGATAAAAATTGTTAAAAGTTTCTACCTGTTAAAATTTCAAAAAAAAAGCCCCTAAACATACTGTATCAGGAAAACACCCAGTTTATCTATTACCTTCACATAAAACTGATAAGCAGGGAACTGAACCACTAATAGAAGTAATTTATATTGGAGTCCTAAAGTCAAGTAGATCAGTTTCATTGTGTTTATAATATAATATACACAGCTATGAGATTGTGTTATGGCCTTTCAGGAAGATCTTTAAAGTCGTGTTTTATTTGCTTTTTCAGGTGGAGGGCAGTATGGAGATGTATATGAAGCAATTTGGAAGCGATACAACAAAACTGTGGCTGTGAAAACACTAAAGGTAAGAAATATAAACAGTTGACACATTTACTGCAGTAATGCTTTTACATACCACAGGAGGTGGCAGGGTTTATATGAAATCTTGTCCCTGGGTAAGTGACCCAGTTGATACATATCTTTATTTCAACATCTTATCAATTAATGAAACAAATAATTTGTTGAATCGATGTTAAACATCAAGCAGCAGCTAGATTTTACAATGTTTACTAAAGGCTTTTCAGAAATTTTATTCATGATGATAGAGAGGTCATTCACTTTTCAAAATCATGGCATTCTTTAATTGATTATCACTGGAGAAGGAATTAAAATTTGTGTTTCTAGATATCTCTGTATTATATAGACTCCTTAATCTTCCTACCTGTAGGTTGTTAATAGTCATAGATACTTAGGTATTTGTCAAGGTTAAATGTTGGTGTTACGTATTAGTCTGGCTTTTCATACAGTATCTTTTTTGTATTATTCTTGTTTAAGGTAAATGTGACTGTAAAATAATCCTTAAAGTTTGATGGACTTTCTTCAGAATCCTTTTTGTAGACTTTTGTTGATACAACAGATCATTGAAAAAAATTATTAGAAAAAAAAAGTTATATAAAAGAACAAAAAAAAATTATGAATGAAATATGTTTTTAGAATATTAACAATGATTTTGGCATTAAGATGAATCTTTTTTGCTTGCAGGAGGATACGATGGCCCTGAAGGATTTCCTGGAGGAAGCATGTATCATGAAGGAGATGAAACATCCTAACCTGGTACAGCTGCTGGGTAAGGACTGGAACTGTAGTACTATATACCAGCAGTAAAATCTGTATTTATTCAGTATTAACTTTTCCTTTCAATGTGGCATTATACAAATAGAATACTTCAGTAAGAAGACTAGCGTATAATAGAACTGAAATAGCATCTATAAACTGTACATGTAGTGTTTTCTTCTCACTACATAGCTGATATCTTTGATCAGGAATACTTTCAATTCTCCAACATTTACTAAATCTGAACTTAGTTGGCTAATTGATCAAGCAGTTTTCTCCTAGAAAGACCACAGATGATGTAAGGCATTCCAATCAGCCGTACAGCTTAATGTTTGTGTTGGTGAAATCGGACTCCTTGTTTTGTTTGTAGTAGATGAAGAGAGAAATAGCATCTTAAACTTCAGAATCAGAATTGGCTTGTAATGTAGAATAATTGCATGATAAGTTAACATGAATTAAGCTAACCTCAGAAAAGTAGTAGTTATTTCATGTTATTTTCCATTCTGACAGGTGTGTGTACAAGAGAACCACCATTTTATATAGTAACAGAGTTCATGACACATGGTAACCTTCTGGACTTCCTGCGAGGGTCCCCAAAGGGGGAGGTAGGTGCTACCATACTTATGCATATGGCCACCCAAATAGCATCAGGAATGGCCTATCTAGAGACCAGGATGTTTATCCACAGGTAAGTGCAACCCTTTTTCAATAGACTGTCACCTGAACAGAAGTTGGTCGTTTTAGATCAGTGACTTAACTGAAGCTGAACATCATATGTAAAAACACAGGTTCAGCTGTCACTTAAAGACTTGGGGGAAAATGTATGTGATATATGGGATTAAACTTAGGAATTCACATATAATAGGGATACATATGTGATACTATAGAAGTTTGATAGGGTAGTGTACAAGGTACTTACAGATATCATGTTAAGATACAAATACTAGAAATGTGAAAATAATTTAATGTTTTTAGTCTGTTTTACTTCAGGAACTAAACTTGGAATTTGACTGATATTTCAGTCATACTCTGTGCCAGGGACTGGACACATAGTAAGGTGACATTATTTTTGTTCATTGTGCATTGTTTGTAACCACAGGGATCTGGCAGCCAGGAACTGCCTGGTAGGAGAAAACCATCTAGTCAAAGTGGCAGATTTTGGGCTAGCCAGGCTGATGAAGGATGATACCTACACAGCTCACGCTGGTGCCAAATTCCCCATAAAGTGGACGGCTCCTGAGGGACTGGCCTACAACCGTTTCTCCACCAAGTCAGATGTATGGGGTAAGTCTGAAAGGGCAGGTCCTTCAGATTGTATTGATACTGTATAACTGTGATACTGATAAGACAACGCCAAGTTTTTTGTGCATTCATATCTATTATAGTTTAGGTAGGAAGAACAACCAATAGTGCATCCTGTAATAAGCCCATAGGTTAAGACAGATTGTACCTTAATATACTTTGTCTGTCATAATTTTGTCTGGAGCATTACACTAAAACTATAACAGATATCAACACGAAACTTCATAGGTAGATGGATCTCAACAAGAAGGGGGCCTTGCACAAGGTTTATAACCCTTTGTTATTTTCACACTAAAATTTTGTCCCATTCAAGGAGCGTACTCTGTCTCTGACAACCCTTGTTTTATATTTTAACCTGAATTCCCAAAATTTTTATTTTTGAAAATTTCCTTCCCAATTCACAAATTTTATTCCCATAAATGCCCAATCTCAAATTAGTGAAAAAGCCATCCAAAAAGGTGATAACTCTGATTTTTCAAAATTTAGATGTGACGCGATTTTATCTTATATAGTTGATGGATTAATTATGGTAGAACAACAACCAGGACAGATTTTCATGATACAGCAAATGTTTTCTTTGTCATCCTTGTCTGAATTTTTGTGCTAGTGTTGTTGGCTTAAGTTATACCTTGTTAAATTATAGAGTTACTTATAAAACATGTTTGATAACTTGTATACTTTTTAAAATTAGAATATTTTGGTTCCTTTAGTGAATTTTCCTGTAGTATCCTGATAACTTTCATATGCTCAGCCTTCTGTATCTTACTTGCAGCGTTTGGAGTATTGCTTTGGGAGCTGGCTACCTATGGCATGTCGCCTTATCCTGGAGTGGAACTTACGGAGGTCTACCACCTACTGGAGCGAGGCTACAGGATGGACCGTCCCGCTGGGTGTCCAGCAAATGTCTATGAACTGATGATGAGATGTAAGTACAAAGAATGGCGTGAAAAATTTTCATTCTTTTTTGTTCAGAGTCTTCTTACCCCTTATTTGATATTTTTTCTCAGTACACCTAAAGTTTAGTATAGCAGACAATGTTTGTATACTTACCAAGCATTGCACAATATTAAATTGGAATGTAATAAAGATTTAGTTACCCAAACCTTAATTCTACAGCTGTTTGTGTTGTGATTGCCTGCCCATGACCCTAATTGTTCCGAATAATTCTGGGACAATCAATAAAGCATTACATGCAGTAGAGTAGTATATATATATATATATTGTAGAACCTTAATCATTGATTCTATGACTGCTATTACAGGTTGGCATTGGGACCCGAAGGACCGTCCAACATTCAAGGATATACACAACTCATTAGAACACATGTTTGAGAAGTCCAGTATTAGTGAAGGTAAGTAGATTTGGAGGCCCTTTGTCTTTAACTTGTCCTAGTTTCGGTGTCTGAATCAGCAGGGTTTGATTGAAGCTGTCCCTATGCATTTGACTTAGTTGACTAAACAATCTTCTTATTTCTGGGAGGTCTTTTCAAACTGTACATAAGGATCCAATTTTTTCTGAAAAAGACCTCATTTATGAAATATCAAACAAAGACCCTGAAGTGTGCCCAAAAGTAAATACTGTAGAATCTATTTGGAAAGATGTAACAAAAGATGTAACACATATAAGGAGATAAGTCTAATATACATGCATGGTCTTCAAACAATCTATCTTTTACAGAGGTTGAAAAGGAGTTGGAGAAGAATGATACAAAACGAGTGCCCTCAAAGAAAGGTCGTCAGCCACCTAGTATGGATGGGAGTGAACACCTAGAGGGTCGTATCAGCGCAGGTAAGAAATAACCTCACTTTTGACAAAATTCATGATATTAATTGACATGTTTAAGAAATTTTAAGCTCTTTGTAAAGATATTCTATTTGGGTACCCAGAATGCAGTTTTCTCAAGCGTAACCCATGTGTATGGATATTCTGTGTACAGTCTTTTCAGGCTTGAATATACTCTTTCTATTTTTAGGTCATCTGACCCGAAGGGTCCGATGACCTATAGTCATCATGCTTCATTCAAACGACTTCTTCTCAATAATTGGAAGGCCCAGGCAACTAATATTTGGCCTGTAGCTTGCTTTGATGAAGCCCTACCAAGTTTGTTAAAAAGAATGACCTTGACCTTCATTCAAGGTCACAGGGGTCAAATGTCTTAAAATCTTCAAACGACTTCTTCTCAATAACTGGAGGGCCCAGGCAACTAATATTTAGCCTGTAGCTTGCTTTGATGAAACCCTACCAAGTTTGTTTAAATGAATGACCTTGACCTTCATTCAAGGTCACAGGGGTCAAATGTCTTTAAATCTTCAAAGGACTTCTTCTCAGTAATCAAAAGGCCCAGGCAACTAAAATAAGGCCTGTAGCATGCTGGGATGAAGGACTACCAAGTTTGTTCAAATGAATGACCTTGACCCACTTTAAAGGTCACAGGGGTCAAATATGTTAAAATCTTTAAACAACTTCTTCTCAATAACCAAAAGGCTCAGATTGCTGATATTGTGCCTGTGGCATGCTGGGATGAAGGGCTATCAAGTTTGTTTAAATGAATGACCTTGAACAACTTTCAAGGTCACAGGGGTCAAATATGTCAAAATCTTTAAATAACTTCTTCTCAAATACTAGAAGGCCTAGGGGGCTAATACTTGGCCCATAGCATGCTGGCATGGAGCCCTACAAAGTTTGTTCAAATGAATGACCTTGGCCCACTTTCAAGGTCACAGGGGTCAAATATGTTAAAATATACAAAGGACTTCATCTCAATAAGCAAAAGTCTATGAGTGCCGATATTGGGTCTGTAGCATGCTGGGAGGAAAGGCTACCAAGTTTATTTAAATGAATGACCTTGAACAACTTTCAAGGTCGCAGGGGTCAAATATGTCAAAATCTTTAAATAACTTCTTCTCAAATACTAGAAGGCCTAGGGGGCTAATACTTGGCCCATAGCATGCTGCCATGGAGCCCTACAAAGTTTGTTCAAATGAATGACCTTGGCCCACTTTCAAGGTCACAGGGGTCAAATATGTTAAAATATACAAAGGACTTCATCTCAATAAGCAAAAGTCTATGAGTGCCGATATTGGGTCTGTAGCATGCTGGGAGGAAAGGCTACCAAGTTTATTCAAATGAATGACCTCAACCCACTTTCAAGGTCACAGGGGTCAAATATGTTAAAATATACAAACGACTTCTTCTCAACAAGCAAAAGTCCATGAGTGCTGATATTGGGCCTGTAAGATGCTTGGAGGAGAGGCTACCAAGTTTGTTCAAATGAATGACCTCAACCCTTTTTCTAGGTTTGGCTTGCTTTTTGTCAGATGACCGTTAAGGCCCATGGGCCTCTTGTTATGAGAGATATTTTAGTGCTTGAGTGACTGGTGAAATAGAAAGCAAAAGCAAAGAAAAGTTGCACATTTCATGACAAATGTGAGAAAGATTTGTGAGGTAATTGAAGATGTCACAATTTTTTATATATTATTATGTTACCATAGTTTGAATTTTGTGTTGTTTTCCTTAGGTCCAACACCCCCTGCAGGCAGGCGTGTGTTACCTCTAATGGAGGACACAGAACTGACGCTACGACAAACCAGCAAGTCTTTGTCCAAATCACGCAAAAAGGGAGGCCCGGCTCCTGCCCCACCACGTAGAACTACATCGTGTAAGGACACACCGGAAAATCCCAAAGATATGGAGAATGAATTGAAAGCAAAAATGAAACTGCAGAAGGCTAAGATAGAAAGTTCTACTCTTGTGGAGCAGTATGATGAAAATGAAACCCTAGAAAGGGACTCATCAGCTGGAGATTTCACTCCCATGATGGTAACACTTCAACCATCTAAAAGATTTGAACTAGGTTCACCTAAAACTTTCCAAAGGATGGATTCAAAGGAAGCTTTAAAGGAGAATAGAATGGAGGATAGTGGTATTTCACAAAGTAGTACCGAGAGTCTAAAGCGAGCACAGATAGACAAATCAAAATATTTGATTAATACAGATAGTGCTGTCAAATCTGGCCAGTTTGAACACTCACAAGAGCGAAGTAGTGGCAGGAAATTCTCACTGCCATACCATCGTGAAACTGTACGCCAATCAGACTTAGAAAGTAAAAAAGTTGACCAGGGGACAAGCACTTTTGAGGAAGGTACGGACGCAACTCCTTTAGTAACTTATAAAGGTAAACAATATCCTAAAAAGGCCCTGCCTCTCCCGCAACAGGCAATGGGCATTCCACGTAGAAAATACTCATCTGAAAATGTGCAACGATTTGAGTCTACCCAGTTGATAAGAGGGCGAGGCTCACTAGATGCTGAAAGTGAGAGTGTGACCATAGGTAAATTAGATGTGGATAATGTTACCAAAGCCATTAGTAGGTATGGAACCATTCCAAAGGGGCGTAGAATTGAAGCATACCTTGCATCAATGGAGAGTGGAACTGAGCGAAATCCAGTCCAGGAACTTCCCCAAGTAGAGGACCATGACTCTGGGACAGACACTGCCAGCATTTCCTCATGTCCAGTGCTCCTACCAGAGGCTTCAGCAGCTAAGGTAGTACCCAGCACTGAGGCAAACATCATTAAACCTGAACCCAATGTAAAACCATCAGCTTTTGTTAAATCACAATCACAGCACACAATTGTTGAGAATTCCACTTCTCATCATGGAGCTCTTCTTCAGAGACATAAATCTGATTTGACACATGGAGCCATGCCTGTCACTATTGACCCCTCGCAACCCCAAAAACATTACTCTGACCCCAAGCCTAAACCCAGCCCCCGGCTGTCTCGTATGTTCACAGACCACGGTGAGGCCAATAGCCACGAGGGCCATGAGCCACTGTCGTCTGTACCAACTCCAGTGTACAAGTCACTGGGACCCCCTCTTGACTACAGCCCTGGTAGTACCACAGACTCTACTGTTATAGAAAGTCCTGAATCCATTGAGGCACGACTTAAACATAGTGCCGACAAGGGTCAACCTCTGCGACCCCAGTTCACACACAAGTCACGTTCCTCATCCACAGGGGACTATCCACGGCCAGAAGACACAACACCAGATGAAAACCAGTGGGCAAGTGTTAATGCAGCAATGCAACAGCACATGCAAATTGCTCAAAACCAGCTAGAGGATAAACAGGGTGCCTCTTTCTTATCTAAAGTAGCCATGTTTCAGTCACAGGGACCAGGATCAAGTGAGTTCAGTTCCTTCAAACCATTCACACGCGGGGAAAGTGGGCGGGAATCACTGAGAGATGACAAATCGACAAGTAGTACAAAGTCGGACATGAGGAAAAGTGAACCTCGTGTAGAAATGCAACCATACAAACCCACAGCTAGTAAAGATGACAATATCTACAAGCCTGTATTACCAAAGATGACGGCATCATCGGGTGGGATGAACCCTCTCATGTCAAAGTCAATGATAGATACTCTAGATACTGTACCAGAGAGCTACTTACATGGACAGAGCTCAGATTCAGACACACCTAAGGTTTCACGTGAAACTATTCTGGACTCGTCTGGTAATTTAAAAGGCTGTATTGATTCCTTATTAGCAACTGGAAATAAATCTAGCACAAATTTCATGGTACTTTCAGAACAAGTGCTAAATTTCCATGAGCAGTGTTCACATTTTATTGACTCTCTTCCTCCACACGCAAAGTTCCATGCGCGAGAACTTTTGTCACGCCTGCAGTTGCATAGTGAAAATCTGAAAAAATTTAGTAGTACAAATCCATCAGGAGGAGGTAAACTTTTAAGTGATATCAAACTGACTGTTCAGGAAGTCATTGATCTTATACAAAGGTGAAAAGTGAGGTTTCCATTTCTGAAAAAGAAAATTAGAAAAATTGACTGAGGATTTGCTTAAAGTCTACTTAAGTTCAATTTTCATTTTTTGCATTTTTTCAAGAAATAGGGACCATGCTGTGTTCTTGGTATTTGATAGATCTTAAAAACCAAAGTGAAAGTTGATGTGATGTGTTTTACCAAACCTGAGGTATATCAATTCATAAGTGCAAGGTATTCTTTCATGGATGTGAAAAGTTCACTGGTGCAAGAGTCACGGAATATGAAAGGTCTTTGATCTACATACATTTAGAGGTGAAAGGTCAATTGAAGTGAAAGGTTCCAGTGTGACATTAAAGAGGCACTTTGTACCGAGATGTTGTGAGTTGTGGTACAGATGGGAAACTTTTCAGAGTAGCATTGTCATGTATGACATGTTCCTATATTAGTTATGTTTAAGTCATATATGTCAATATTCACACCAAATAAAATATTGTCATTTTGTTTGTTTTGTAGAAAGATCAAAATCTCCATTTTCCCATTTATTTTTTTTTTTTTTTTATGGAACATATCCTTTTTTCGCATGAAATTCCAACTCTAACAAAACTTGATAAAAGAACACAAATAATGGTGAAGGATTTTCATGAAGCCATCTTCATCATTACTTGATGTGTGTATGAAACAAGATTCGTCTGGGTTCTAGTCTGACGTAACCAGTGATAAAAACTCTTTATATGAAGTGATTCATTACAAAAATAAATTCACAACCTATTGCCAAATATAACTTATCTAGAATGCTACCATTAACTATGTATTTTATGGTTTAACACTGGTGAACAAGTTTGATACAGAAACATATATAACGTAAAAACATAACAATATTTATATAGAAATACCAAGTGTGTTTTTTTCTAAATGTAAATTTTTTACATTTTCTGAATTTTCAGATGTATTGAATTTTGTTGAACTGTTTATGTTATGATAAGTTGGGTTGGTTCGTATACATGAAAATCAAACATGAAAAGTTTAAGGTAATATTACTATGGTTCATTAAAATTGTTCCATCGTTAAAATTATGTTTATGTGAAAAAAACAAAGGTTGTAACCTGTAATATTGAAAAAACAGTGGTACTTATGAAATACTAATACACAACAGAAAAGAGATCTTTCTGTCTTACATGGATATATTGATACAGAAAAATTAACTGATTTATGCAGTGTTGAAATCAAAGTTACATATGAATAAAAAAATCTTGTGAATATGTGAAACAAAACAAAAAAATTGAAACATCTGTAATTATTTTATGCCTTGAAATATATATCGAGGGAAAGTTTCACTGTCATCACTTCTAAACTGCCTTCTTGTAGATTTTCATTTGAATGCTTTGTGCTGGTGCCCGTGAAGTACCATGTGATTGAATGTGGGTTAAAGTTGTCTCCCCTTAATTATCACTAACAGTATTTTTTATTTTATCAAATTTGATACACTTTGTTCGGAACATAAATGCATACATTTGTGCATACATAGGTTGACCTAGTTCAACTTGATGGTGTAATCTTTTCCCATTTCTAATTAAAACCACAAACTGCATATTCTGACTCAATTTCTAATCCTTCTAGGATATTTTTGCCTACATAGTGTTGGATTAAGCTGATTTAAAAGTGCTAATCACAAGAGTTTGAATGACCCAAGTTCCAATAACTATTGTCTTCTCAATGTTTAAAAGATACAATGATCTGTTTACTTGGTATCGGTTTTACTGAAACTGGAGGTGTTACACAAAATATTCTACTGCTGAAAATTTTGCCCTTTCAAGTCAAAACAATTTCAATATTTATACAATCAATTATGTAACTGCAATTGTAAAGGACAAAATGTTGCTGTTTGATGCACAGTGATAAGTTATTATCATGGTCAGTATGCACATATTATAGATACAGAAAAATAGAATCAGCAACAAACTACATTTCCTATTTTTATATTTTGATGTCTTTTTCGCCACTTTTTTTTATATCTATGATATGCACTCTAACACATCAAACTTACCTTTACCCTGACATAAAAACAATGTAAGGTCAACTTTTGTTGATGGCAAATATAAGGCTTGCAATGTCGTTAATTTTCAAGAAATCAATTATCATCTTACAAAAGACAATATCTGAATACTTTTTTGTTTAGTTTATGAACAATGAAAAGAAATGTGAGTATGCAAATACTAATACATGAATTATACATGCAAGCTTTATATTCTGAACCACTTTTGGCATAGATTTTGTTCTAATTCTTGATATTATTATACTAAGGTCCAAAAATACATGAAATAAGACTAACTCATACGTCATACTGTGTACAGATCTGTAAAACTTTGATATACGAGATGTGCTTGGTAGAGAGTGTGTACTATTACTGAGAGAGAGTGTGTGTATATATGTGTGCTATAAAGAATGCAGGCGATGGGCTCTAGAAGAGTTAACTCCCCTGTCTGTTACCTGTACAATCAGTACCTTTATATCTTGTCTTTCCATGTCTAGTCCAATCAGTTCTACTTACTCTCCAGCAGGAGAATAACTTTTAATTATCTTCTCTATAAATCAATGTGGGTTCTATGAAGTATGTACCTTTACTAGATGAGGCAAGCAACATGTGATCAGTAGACAAAATCAAATTGCAGGTATATATCAAGATGTATGAATTATATTGTAGTTCTAGGACTACAATATCTCATTTAATTTAGATTACAGTAAGATGTTTTTTATGGGTATATTAAAAACTTCCTTATGAAATATAGCATAATACTTATATATTATAACATTGATAATATCCTTTGTTAAAAATTGTTTTAAAAATTTACAGAATGGTATTGGACTTATTTGTTGATACATTAAAAGTTGTAGAAATAGTATTAAATCTTAGTTTGTTGAAAGACAAGCTCGATCTTCCTGTTCTAAAGTAAACCATTTTTTTGTTGTTTATTTTTTCAATAAGTAAGCATGATTTATTTAATTTTGTGATTTCTAACAGTTCCGTGTGACTAATTTTACAAGTATTCAAAAACCTTGGATAATTTTTTGACAATATTGTTTATTTTTCACTCACAGCAATTTTTATTTAACATGGTCAAATTAATTTTGCTAATTACATCCAAAACAGTGTCATTTCATTAATTATATCCGAAACAATTGTGGATCAGGAATGACTGTGTGGGGTGATTTCCATTCTCAGCTTGGATAGAAAAAGTATAACAGTATGCTATCACACATTGTAAATCTTCATCTCTTTATTATATATATATATATATATATGTTAAAATTTTCTCATTAATTGTAAATACCAGATATTTATACTAACAATATAGAAACGGAAAAACAGTCTATTTATATGACTTCCACATACTGGCATTATTCTGTACAAACCAAATGGTTGTATATGCATTAATGGTTGTCCCCATCTCATTTAGATAGTGTTTCTTTAATAATTTACAGATGATTAACAAATTAAGGTGAATTGTTTTTTGTTGGACTTTCATGGTCACCCATTTCACTACAGTGACACGAAATATAAGTCAAGCTATGGGTAGAAAGTTGACAATAAATATTTCTTAGTTGTGAAAAGCTTCAGGTGAACATATATACTGTATCGATTAGTGCATATCAGTTATGTGAATCAGTATTTTTGGGTTTCTATGTATCCAATTTATTTTGTCAAACAGCTGACATTGAATGATGAAAAGGTTGTTTAGACCTACAGACACGCCTTCCCAAGATATTCATTTGGTATCAGTTCTCTTTACTAAGCATGGAGACAGGGTTGTAAAATAAATGACTGATTTATACAAGTAGGTCATTATATTTGTCAATCAGATCTATTGTAGAATAATGTGTTAAATTGAGAGTACCTGGGCAGACCAGCCATAAATCTACCTAAAAACCTCTCTCAGCATTAGTGGATTTGGTTTTTAAACATGATCATCTTTGCTTCTTTACTGTCCTTCTCTATTTTACTCAAGCATAAATGTACAATGTTGAGTGTTGCGAGGTGCTTTTTGAAAAAAATTAATTAAACCTTTTCATTTATATTCCATTTGAACAAATGTCATGGTCTCTTCATGATAATACAGTGTCCTGCCTCTACACACATGTACAATGTGAGAGCAAAAGTGAGAGGGAGAACGAACGAACGAGAATAGCCTTTTGTTGAGAGTTGGAAGGCTGTTCGTATGTGCTTAAATGTGATAACGTACATTGTTTTATATTTATTTATTTGTGGTAAAAGTTTTTACAGAAAATCCTAATTCATTTAGACAAAGAAATTATTGTCATTGTTTTGATAAACTTCTACTTAACAACACACCTGTGAATATTTGTAATTATCTCCCCTTCTCTATGCCATTGCTGATGGAAATAACTGTACATTTTGCTTGCTTTAAATGGCCTCAGTCTTGTGACGGACACTTCTAGAACCAAATTATGGGTAGATATTGGCACGGAACGGTTTCACTCTAGACCAAATGGGAACATGCTTGTAAATGAAGTACAACTTGTACAGTGCTCATGGTCGGTTCAAGTGCAAAATACTTTCTTCATATTATTAAACTTACAACCTTAAATTCTTCTCAAGTGTGATATAGTTATTAGATTATTTGAAGAAAGGGAGAAATCGTATCATTAGGTCCCCTGAATAAATATAAATACATTGAAAAGAAATTAAGGTTGTAAATTACATACAAATATATTTTGTGTGAGTGAAGTATAGATGTTTTATAATTGAGAGACAGTATATAACTGGTAGTTGGGAGTGAGCCTGCTGTGTGTTATGTGTCTATAAGTTGGCTTTATAATCTGTGTACTGAGTGTATTGTTATGAGAGAAGCTCTTTACTAGACATGCAAGCCAATTTTTGTCCAAAAAGTCAATGTATATGGTTGTACATTAATGTGAAAATAAAACAATTAAATTCATTTTTAGTTTGTTGTTATCAACCCCCATGGACTCAAATTGATCTTTTATACATAATTATCTGTATCAAACACTGCATTTGTTTGATCAGGTTCATATAATATTGTCTGGTAAGTAAATACACTATCGCAACATTTGTTCATTCAATATTAAGTTGGGTGCTAAATCAAATTTATTTACAAATCAGAAGCATGGAAGGTTGGTCTCCATTTGACCCTGACCTTTGATACTGTGACATTGATATAGTCACACTTTTCATTGTTTGATTCTGTTTTAATCCTTCACCTGTAGAAAATACAACCTTTACCTTGGATCCAATGACCTTGACCTTTGTCATTGGACTTTACATATCTCTGAATAGTTTTAACCAAGACCCAACCCTGTTGCTTTAGTGCAGGTTTGTAGTGTTTATGATACTTGTCGCTTGAATAATATCCGCATGTATGCAGGGCGACTGAGGAATAGGGATACTACAACAGGAAAGTAATTGTGACAAGTCGTAGTAAGTTGGTTCATATTCATATGATTTGGCTGGTTTCACCTGGAACATCGGGGGCTTCATAAGGACATTGCAATTTAGAAAATTTTCTCCTGAATCATATTAAATGTGGGCAAGTTTTACTTGTGACGTTTTAAGGGAAGTCACGTGTGTGACCTTCCATGACCTTTTATAGATTCCGTAACAGTAACTAGAAAACAATAATAAATAGCTGACTTGTGCCTTCCCCAAAATTAAAATAAATTAATAATATCTAGTTTATTGCCTTACAATTGGCACTCAACACTTTATAAAATGAATTCATAAGTTATCAAAATTGAAATCTGTGATTGGAAAAGAATATAAACAAGTACCACAACTTGTTGACAATAATCTTTTATTAAATTCAACTTCTCACACTTGTGCAGCATATTCACTCTCATACATCAGTCCTGTGATGTAGTCACATTCTCGCAACAATTATGTAAAAGAAATTCAGACTCCCTCCTAACTCAGTGATGTGTTGAGGCACATTCATATCCTTGTTTATCAGTCACCAGTTATGTGGTACCAAGTCATATTCTTACAAGTCAAAGCGCTTTCAGATTCTTATTCTCCTTAATGAATTAAACATGTCACATTTTAGGTCTTCAAAATAGTCACATTAGCAAAATGGAAATATCTTCTAAAATGAAAAAAGTGTGACTTGCTGTATGTAATTAACCTTGACCTTTTATGATGTGATGACTGTTGTTTTGAGAAACAGACAATATTTTGTACCCTATTGGTATGTTAAATGTCCCAATTGATTTGACAATAATCATTGTACAGGTGTGTGGAGATCATGTTCCTTCCCTCTCTAGTCTCTGCTGGGTCACCTCTATGACCTCTGCCATCACTTCAGGCTTCAGTGTCTCCTTCACCTGAAATACAGGAGAAAAAAAAGAGTGGCATTATTGAACTTGACAGGAAGACAGAAAGAGTGAAACTGAGGAATGCTACCCAAAAATGAAAATTGGACAGAAATTTCAACATAATTCTGTAATCAAGGGATTGCAGGCCCTGAATTTGGTATACTGCACATTTTCCTAGTACGACCAATGTTCATGATACTAGTTTTAATGCAAGCAACAGAAAAGGCAAAATACTGTATACCCACAATCAAATTTGTTCTTGTGCCAAACATGAAAACAGGACATCCCAGAGGGATCTTGTCACCCACCATCGTTTTATCTTTATATGTTCTTTGAAAGTTGGATCTTTTCCCTTCTTTCTTTTTCTTCTCTTCTCTGTTTTTGCTCTTAATGCTAAGACATTTGAACATTCCTTTGCAGAAAGAGCAATGATAATCTTTACCTGCCAAATCCAAAATTGCTGCATGGAAGCCATTTTGTTTTTTTCTGATCAGTCCCAAAATCAAACAGGCACAAGAAGAGACCAAAGGGAACATTCGTATGAAATTTGAGAGATAACCATTAAGTAAATAATTAAGAAATAGGGACAACAATCTTTAGTAGGCGAAATCCAAGATGGCTGCTGTCAGCCATTTTGTTTTTCTGATCATTTCCAAACTCAAATAGGCACAGCTAGGGACCAAAAGGAACCTATACATGAAATTTGAGAAAGGTCTATAAAATAGTTCTCAATAAATAGTGATAACAAACTTTTGACATCAAAATCCAAAATGGTTGTCTTTCGGCCGTTTTTTTTTATCAGTCCCAAAATTACATGGGCACATCTAGAGACCAATGGGAACCTATATATACAATTTGAGAGAGATCTGTCCAGTCCTTCTCAAGAAATAGCAATAACAAAAATTGTTTACAGACTACGTCACAGGGCGATTTAAATAGCCTACCAAGTGATGATGGTGGGCTAAAAATGACTAAAGATGAAAGTAAAGACTTGAAGTGAAAAGATCAATACCTTCTACATGATATATATGAAAGTGTTAAACTTGTTCAAAGCAGTAATTTGTACAATTTATGTACAAACATGACTTTAATGCTTGAGCCATTGACTATTGATGCCATATTTAACCACTGAATATTTAGCAAATATTTAAGGCTTAAGTACAGTATTGAAAGCAACTACATAGGAACTTACAGAGTATTTAAGAGAGGCCTCAAATGTGTAGAGGACACTGGTATCGTACAGCATCATTTTGTGTTCTGCTAAAGCTAGTACACAGTTACGTAGCCTGGCTATCACTTCCCTGTCAGACTTCTGAATTGGCTGTATAATAAAGATATAAACTAATCAAGGGGAGTTCACTCATTATTTAAATGGCAAGTTGGCTGTAATACATACATCTAAGAACAATTTGAAGACCTGGAAATTTACATTTCGTGCCTGATTTGTCTGCCTTTCAACTACCATTCTGAATCTCTCTACTGTAATCTTTGTGATGGACTTTCAGACATGTGCACTGAGGTCTTAAAAATAACAATTTTCCTTGTTGTTAACCAACAAAATTGTTGTAATTAAAATCAATGTTCCACATAATATTACATGTTAAAAGAAAATGATTCATCAATGTCTTATTTATAAATAACAAACAAACTTTATCTGACCTCACATAGACATCCCTGACATATGTTTCACATAAAACAGATATTGTTTCGTGGATAGCTTCACCAAGTGTTGAGCCAAAATAAAATAAATATATGTGTCTTTTCCCCTACCAGCCAGAAATTTCCTGCCTACCTGTGAATAATTATATAAAAAGGAAATGTTTTTTCTCCATTTGCCTGATCAGAAAATCCAAAAATAAAGAACAGATACTGGTATACAATTTATTTTGATCTTATTGACAGGAGACTAAGAGTGTTCACTTACTTCCAGATTCTGCTCATACCCTCCTGTCTGTTCTGTTTCCTCGTTGATGGTAGGACATATCCATATGTACCCGTTATTACCCAGAATAATACTGGCTCCGCACGGCAGGTTGTGGAAGTGAGTCTTACGACGCTTGATCAGAGATGGTGAGATGGAAATCAACTGACCTTGTGATAACTAAACAAAAGTATATAAATACCATTTTTACCTTGCTTTAATGTATATTCAATATAAACCACTTAATTTTCATATAAATTATAAGTCAGGTTTTTTTGTCAAGTAAATAAATACGAATAATACCTGGTTTATATAACTATGGATACATAAAGAGAATTTAATATCTTTACTTACTTTTCCATACTTGAGACTCCTGGTGTGGAGAGACAAAACTCCATCAGAAAATACAGACTGTACTTCTGCCTGGTGTTTCGTTAAGGTTAGTATCAAATTAAACTCTCACAGACTAACTAAAATACACCCAGTCCTCCTTGTTACCCATAAATACAGACTGTACTTTTGTCTGATGTTTCATTAAGGTCAGTTTCAGAAAAAAACTCTCACAGGTTAACTATAATTCTCACAGCCTGTCACCATACCATTGTCTAGTGTTTTGAAATTAAACAATAACTTGGACACTCTCCAGTCAACTCCAATATTTAGTTACATGAGTTACCCAGGAAATTGGTTGGATTAAAATCTCTTTTTAATCAGAGTCTGTTTTTAAAAGCAAAAAAAGATACACTGATCAAATCTCCTTCTTTGAGGTAGGTTCTCATCATTTTCTCATCTTCCTCTGACCTTCTTCTCTGAAATCAAAAACCATATCTAAGTAATGTAACTTTGTGGCTGCAGTAAAAAGTTGTATCTTCGCACTTTCATTTGTGCAAAACATAGATGGAACTATTCATGAAATCTATGCTAAAGATTTTAAAGAGTTCATTGAATACTGAAAATTTCTGCCTGAGGCCTTGACAAATCAGAAGCCAGTTTGAAATGTCTCTGAAATAAGTTTATAATCACAATCTGATTGACCAGTCAGTATACCATGGCTACCACTGACCAGTCAGTATACCATGGGTACCACTGACCAGTCAGTATACCATGGCTACCACTGACCAGTCAGTATACCATGGCTACCACTGACCAGTCAGTTAACCATAGTTACCATTGCCAGTCACTTCAGCAGTGTTACCACTGCCAGTCAGTTCACTATGGTTACCTACCAATTCTCCTCCAGGAAGATTGACAGAGGACAGCATCAGTACAGAATCCAATTTCGCATGAGTATCCACCTTCCAACGGCGAGTTCCAACTTCAAGGATACGACCAATTATCACATCCCCAACTTCTCCATTGTACCTGTTTGACAGACAAAGTTTTTAAAACCAATTGTAACAATAAATACATTTTCAAGCAGTGTTGCTTTCTAATTGATTTTCATTGGTGAATTACACACAATATATACAAACCTGTGTATCTATTTTTCTATCTTTCGCTCTTGTTTTTATCAAATGAGGTACCATGGTACAGCAGAAGTACCAGCCTTGTTGTAATAATCAAATTAAAACATGTGACTGTACAAAGGTTGAGTGGAAAGTTGATGCTTACGCATAACATATTTAACATTTTCAGACGTGGAGAAAGAAAATCAACTCATCATGACTAAAGCCACATGACTTGAGGAAGCTTGGCTAACACACACAAGCTAGAAAAGGAGAATGAGGGGCGTAGTAATGGATAGATATTGTGACACAAAAATACTTATCTACGTAACAGTGACTGTACCTGGTTTTCAAAGGTTTTACACAAATAAGTTTGTTAACTCTCTCCACCACACCTGCTACAGAAGCGTAGAGCTTTTCATCCTCCATGTATGTTCCATGTCCACTGAAACATAATTCTTCTATTAGGTTTTAACTTCGTGAAAAACATGGGCAATAACTCACCGACAAAGCATATTTGAAAGAAATACCAAAGAAATCTACATGGTTACAAGTTAAATTAGTTTCTGATTGAATAGTTTAGTTTTTTCTTTATGATCTTCTTATTTGACTTTCTTTACAATCCTCTCAATAAATTGAAAATCAACCTATACTTTATGTAATCTACAAGTTCAATCATTAACATAAACTCTAACACTGACAGAACAGTTGCTGTGACAACCAAAATCTGATCATTGGTGGGGAGAGAAATGACCCAACAGATATCATCCCCTGCTGTCTGTGAATTTTGATCCAATGGTTTAGGAGAAAGTGGTCTGAAGATCATACCTAAATTAGCAAGAACTGCTGTGGGGTTACCTTTAGTTTATGTTGTTTTACAACTAAACAGAATTTCTTTTCAGCTTAAAATGATCTTATCTTACAAAATGCCATTTGAAAGTCTGGCACAGAGAAGATTATTATCCAATTTCCTTCCTTCTTTCTGATTTCATACAATTCTGATACTGTTTAGCTTATTGGCTTCTTGAAGTTGTTTTCTTAAGCATGTTTGTTGAATCTATCACTTCGTCAATAGTGAAAGTTATTTTTAGACTAAGTTTCCTTAAAGTAAATGATGACTACCTCACTGAACAACATACAGGAGGTCCATCATTCAAATGCCATCCACAGCAATTTTGGTAAAGTGTCTAGCCCAACAACATAATCAGAACAGCACAGGCTGGCCTGTTCCTCACCTTCCCGAGAAATACAACCACCACGGTAGGGAGTATTGAACCACACACATCAGATATTCACCTGAGGCTGTGTAAGTCAATGCTCTGCTGACTGAGCTATCATGGCCTCTCTTCTTAAGTATATTTAACAATTCTGTTCAATATATCATAAAGTAAAGTAATCTTCTGTTTGATATATCATAAAGTAACAGTTTAATTTAGAGGTTACAATGGCTTTACACTGCATCCTCTCAAATAACCTAACTTTCTAATATCAAAAGAACAAACAAAACAGACCAACCCACCCTCTCTGCCCTGGCCAATCTGAATATAAATAATCATTTAGTTGTACACACAGTAGGAACAAATGGTACCTTATCACAGTTACATAAATACATCCATAAAGATGTAAAAAGATCACAAAATTTCTCGTAAATAAAGGTCATTTTGTACATCTTGCCTAGTTATCCTTGATTCATGCTGGATCTTGAGTAACAAACAACCCCTGCCTGGCCAAGCCATCCAAGTCAATTCCAGGGATCAATGATTATTCCATGGTGGTGTCAAACAACCTGTAGGCCTGCAAACTGGCCAGACATATGCTGACAACCACACCAACATGCTGCAAGGAACTGAAATCCAGATTATGTGGGATACTTTCAGAGAAGGTGTCAGCAACATCTCAACAAAGAACGTCCCTTCATGAAAGTGAGAAAGTCAGGACACTGGTTCAACCACAATTTTATGAGGACACAACAGAAGGCCCAACTATACAACCACACCAAGAAGACTGGACAGTGGAGTAAATACAGAGCCTTTCAGGAGGAATGTAGGAAGGCCTTAAATGTCGCTGATATCACACACCTTAATGATGTCAACCAGAAAGGCCAAGATGACAACACCAAGAGCTTCTGTAGTTATGTAAATTCCAATCATCAAGATAATGTAGCTGTGGCACCCCCTTAAGTTTGGTCAACTCATTAACAATGGAAAAAATGACATAGTTTCTGGTTAAATAGTTCCAATCTGTCTTCACACATGTATACATAACAGCATAACCCAGAGATACAACACCAAAATACGAAGCCTCATCATTACTGTACCATACAGTAAGTACCAGCGCTACAACACATCTTTCAGTACTTGGTCAATAGAGTAAAAATATCGGCTGATTGTCGAAAGTCTCCCTCTCTCTTCAAAAAGTAATTGTCGAATCCCTAAAACTTATTGACTTTAAAAGTAACAAGAAGAAATTTGTTTTTATCAGAGACGTGTTTAACCTGCAACTGAATGCGTAACCTAAAACGCTTTATGTTAACCGTTGGTGTCTGTAAAGAGGAATTTAACAAACATACCGCATGAAACCAGTGTCTGCAGTGATCACATCTCCCGGTGTCACAAGGTTACTTATTTCCGTAGAAACAGTAGATTTCGTTGTGGAACGACTACTAGCTATCCTCACATCGACCATGCTTCTCATAATCTTTGTCATTATCATGTTTGGCATAGGACGCTCTATTCTTGATAAATACAAACGCAGTAATGATCCTGCAAATTTGTATTACTTTCACTTTACTTGCGAGCGTTCGTGCAACTCCGTTTGATACCTGTTTGGAAATCAGCAATTTCTTAAATGACAGAAAACAAGAGATTGACAGAGCTGATACAATAAGTTAATCGCTTTAACAAATGATTCGCAAAATGTCAGCTAACTGTAAGTCTTCAGACGAAGGTTAAACGAACTAAAAACCAGAAAGGAACAAAAGATAAGAAAAAAAGAAAAGGAATATATCTGAAGAGAGTCAGCAAATGACGGTAGAGCTTCATTAGCATGGAAACGACTTTTATTCGGGTATGAACACATATCATATTAGAGTGTGCATGGGTGAAGGAGAGGGGGACTTCATACTTGTTTCCGAATTATAGCATGTTTCCTTTCTTTTTTAAACACCGTCAGATATTGATTATGACACAACGATATAAACAGGTCGTCAAATACGCAGATTGGCGTATTGTTTGCCAATTGTGGTGTATGAATTTGTTACTGAAAATAGCCAAAATCACTTTAAACTTCACCTTTTAAAATATTTAATTATGAGACGTCACTGCAAAAATAATAATTTAATTGCACGTGTAAAAGTACAGACAATAGATGTAGTACCTCCTGCCTATATTGATTATGTTATGATACTACTGTTATGGCAGCGACTGTTACATCAAGTTTCTAAGTTGTTCGCACTTTTTGTTTTGTTCAATGTGATGAGAAAAGGTAAATGGAGTAAGATTGAAAAGATCAATGAAATTATTTACTTTTTAGAAATGTACATTAATTTATAGTTACAACGTTTTGAAAATATTAGCACATGGAGGTAACAAATGTTACGTACAAAGATATACTTAGAATGATGGTAACTTGTGTATTATTTCCGCCTTGTGGCAGTATATCCTCGCATTAGTGCCTGATAATAGTGAATGTAGTGGAAAACATCTTAACACGCTTTTAAGAAATTGAATCATTTAGTGATTGTGTAAAACGTGTAAATGTAATGTCCCAACGAAAGCGATTTTATCTGTTATTACGAGGACGTTGGTATAGAAGTTTTATGACATCATGTTACAAGGTTCGTATCAGAGATCGCTTTCCGATTGTTTCACGCGGGTCTACACTACTACGATACAAAAAATGACCTTTATAAAGGAGGGGCGGTGTTGAAAATCCACTCGTCCGCTGGTCGTAAAAGTGGACGTAAAACCCGTTAGAATAAAGAAATGAAAGGCTAATGTTACGTCCTTGACATTAGATGAAAATGAAGGCCAACGATTGAAAATGTTCTTTGAAATGACAGAATATACAAGAAAGGTCTTTTTACTTGTAACAAATGAAGAAGGATGTTGCATATTATATGACTAGTTGTTCCTTGGACGCCACGGGACACAAAACACAAGTTTGTGTCTTCCTTCCAACTTTCTATTCTGCAATAGATTATAACTTTGACATTGAAATATGCCGACACAATTCTCTTTGTATAGCAACTTTTAACATTAAAAATTTCTGGTGTATGACAGGTGTATATATTTTTAAATAAATATACATCAGGGGCGTAGCAAGCCCAGCAGAAATGTGTAAGCCCAGGCGAGGGGTCATGAATTTCATAATTTCAAAGATGTTTTGCATCGTTTTCTGACACAGTTCTTTTTATTATTTAACTTACTTTGGTAATTTTGTCCGACATACTCTATGCACGGATTTTTTTATGTGTAAGCCCGGGTTTTTTCTTTCTATGGAAGCTACGCCCCTGTATCTGGATGTAGTATAGACTCGGACTTTGAACTGGATGTAACGCAGGACACCCTAATTGCAACTGATGAATAGCATCATTGTCAAGAGATAATTATAGATATTATTTATTCAGTTGCAATAAAAAATAATGTAGAAAAAATGCATCTTCATCTAAAGTACCAAAAGTGCCACTTGTTGATTGCAAAATCTATGTCCTTTTACGTCCGCTAATTATATTTGTGAATAAAACTTATTTCGTGGCCTAAAACTGAAGAAACATATATTCATGGCAATACATTATTTAAATAGAAAGTAATTTTTCATGAATTTGACAAAAAAATCTAATTGAGAAGGAAACGTATTCCCAAATGAACAGCCGTTGTTGTCTTAGACACATCCAAGAACTCAACATCAACATCCATCTTCTCCTTTATTGGTCAGGATGTAACATCATTTTATGATGTGAAAGCTACCACATCATTGGTTGTCCCGGACGTAACAAATATTTTATGACACCAAAGACTTACTTATATAAATTAATAGGTTATAGATATTATTGACAGTGTATATACGATATCTACTAGTTTGTGATATTTTACTGTAATTAACAGCAAATTATTATCTTTCAAGGTTTCTCCATTTTTCTTCAACACTCTACACAATTTCTGCTTCACAAGAAATTTATTTGCACAGAATGAAGAACTTTGTAAAGAGCAGAAATTGATGGTTACTTCCAATTGAGGCTGTTTTTTGTGGTCTTTTCCGACTTTTTCATTTACCACTATCTCAAATGTAGGAAAGGAGTGCTGAAGGACTATTTCCCGTTTCTAGTAGTCCAAAATCAACTGAATTTGATGGTATTTGGTTTTGAAGTTTGATGAGGAAGAACTTTCATTTATTTCCCAGAATTCGTGATATTTCCATTAATACATAATTTTATCTGAAACTAGTGCTTTTATGAGGTCAAGGTCAAAATGGGATGCCGTACACAATCATTCATACATTCATATATATAGTAATACAGAATTATTCAGGTATAGACTTAAAATAATTAGGGTTGTACACCCAGTGTCAAATATATATTGAAACAAATCAAGTCTAACTTGGTCTGGATCATCCTTGGGTGAGGAGGAATCAATTTTACATGAATGGTGGGGCTCGGCCTTCTGGGGTGAGGTGGAATAGTGAAATAGATGATATTCTCTAAAACCCGATCAAGCGATTCAAATGAGCACAATGAAATACTTCCGAGCCATTCTAGTCTCTTCTGTTAAGCGTGGGATGTATACACAACATCATTGACTAATCTGACTTTGAAATCACATCTAGATTAAGAAACGCCCCAGCATGTTTACTGCACTTTCGGCATGCGATAAATCTAATCAATTAGTCCAGATACCATGATTTGTAATACAAAATAAATCGTGCGTGACCACCACAGAACGCTCGTGCTGACCATCCGGCTCTCGGGGAAGTGACCAGCTGGGGAAATGGCAGACAGATGGACCTGAAACCACCCTACGTGTAACCTAACTTATGCGATATTTCAATCAAACTTCAGCATATCAAATTGATGAGAAGACTTATCAGCCTCTAGTAGTTGGAAAACAATGTACATGTATGGAAGCCAGTCGGGAACAGATCAAACCGGAACGCATCGCGGCCAATTCCGTCAAGATTCGGAAACAAACCGTAAAAAATGCCAGCTGCTGTAGTTTGATCGAACAGAAATAGTTTGTAAGTGGTGATCATTTGCGAAAAAGAAAGTGTTAGCTAATGTAGCGTTAATATCACTTAAAGTGACAAAACGTGATAACAGTCTATTGTTTCTTGAGAGTTGAGTGAATGGGATTAATGTAAACATGTGTTATTACCATACATATACATACAGGGTGATGAAGAACAATTTACAGGAAAAACATGATTGATAAGAATATTGCCGAATGAAACATATAATAAGACAAGTTAAATAGTGGATAGTGACGTTACAGACGCACAAAATTGTTCTATGGGTATGTCAGGAGTAGGGGAAATAGAAATGACGAGATGAAGTGTGAAAACATTAATTATTTTAGGTCCACACATTTACGTGAAATCGCGACAAGAGATATAAATATCATAGCTTTAATGCAAAGCGATTCTTTCTTGCTTTTGATAACGCGGTACATTCCGGACACAGAAGGAAAACAACCAAGGTACCGTGGATAAAGTCATTTTGTCCAAAACTGAAACCCATTTGATTTGAAATGTTTTCACGAAAGCAAATTGGAGAGAAGCATGGATATAACGAAATTTAATTATTTCCTGAATGGAGTTTGGTGAGGTAAAAATATACCAACATGTAAACATAAACATAATCCAAACTCAAAGCAATAAAACTAGGGCAAAATATGAACTAAAGAAATATTTACACGGAGACTTATGAAAAAGTACACGGATAAAAATATCAAGTAAGCGTACTGTTACTGGGAAGTTTCAGTTACAACGAGGCATTCCTCTTGTTTTGTGTTGTTTCTTGTCTCATTAAAGTTCCAAAATAAAGCCACAAAGATGATTAACTAAATTATTGAAATAGTCATTTATGGCGAGTACTGGCTTTCATACCACGGGACCGAACACAGGTCAGGAAAACAAGATGGGTGGGAGTTCATGAGTAATAGAAAGATTGGCTAGGTCACTTTCCCGTCAGACACTGGATATTCACACCATACTTTCCGGATCACATATCGGACGAAGTTCATGGACGGACAAGACCGTTACAAATTTCATCAAGATACCCACATAAGAAAAACAAACACGTTTAACTTGGATTCGGAAATACAACGTGTCTTAGGACTAGCCGAAAGTGCCTGAAATATTGATGTTGTCTAGTTTGTAAGGTGTGCGATTCAATACCTGTAACATAGGAAACGAAATTAGATACACCGATGAAATTGGATACCTAACACTAATTAGATACTGAATAGAATATCTCAAAGATGTGAGCAGATTTAGTCGGGTCTTTTTGTCATAACAGGTACCAGCGAGCAGTAGAGTGTACGAAATAGACTTTAAAACCTCACCACATTGGAAGAATTTTCACAATGAACGTTGCTATAATATCGGGTGTGTTTATCATTATGTTTTTTGTCACAAGTCATTCCGCAACGAATTCTGAGGATATTTCTATGGATACGCTTCGCGTTTCCATGGTTACCAATATGACACTGGAAGACGTTGTATCAGAACTTCTTGCTCTCAAGGTTCAGGTCCTGCAAAACAAAAATCACATGCACGAGGAGATCGCCAGTGCCTTGAACAGGAGCCACGAACTCCTACACAGGAACGGACACGGGAGGACCCGGACCTCGCGGAGACAGCTTCGTCTCGTTATGACCCACTTACAGACACTCAGTTCGGATATACGACAACTCCATTACCAGACAGTATACATGAGGAAAGGGTTTGAACTCGCGCTAAACGACACTAGGGCTGACCTTGGAGGGAGATTCGAAGGCGTTCTCGGTTCAATGTCGAACATGTCAGGCGCTCTGGAAGCCATGACGTCACGCGTCGGTGCTTTGGAGTTCGGCATGCAGAAGGCTGGTATAGATCTGCCAACAACAGGTATTTTTTTTCTTTTTACTTTTCAAAATCACCACAAAATACAAACGTAATTTTGATTGGTGAATCGTTGATATTGTCGACGATAAGCACAAACACAGAATTTCCTTTCCTTCAAGTTAACATTTCTTCCTTTCTTTTATAAGACTTCAGTATATTTTGAATGCATTTGGTGTAATTTTATCTATACTTCTTTATAGAAGTCAAATGAAAATACGATTAAAATGTTTACTTGCGTTAATTAAAGATTAAGTAACGTTTCCACAACTATCATAAGCTGTAGTGCAAATTGTCTACTTCAGGAGGCAAATCAGGTTGAGGAATGTTGTAACATACAGTCCGATTGAAGCACCTTTACTGTTAAAGTCTGGTCTACATGGATACCAGTTACAGTATTCTGAATTTATACTGATGTAAATTTGTTATTAAGCGAAATATCGTAGCCCTCCTCACTCCCCCCAATTGTTGACGGAGGTTACATAACTGACTATGGTTATATCGATTTTAAGTTATCTTTTTTCCGATTTAGTTCCTCCTCGAAAAATGATAATAGTTAAAGTATTTGACGACGGGCAAGCGGACGACAAATGGACGGACATTGACTAGCTGGTTGATTGGTTATGAGTTTTCCCGTCCTGCTTCACTTGTTGATACAGTGTTTAGTTGTTTAGTGGAAGCTGCACGGACGGCCTCGCGTTAGTTAAGCAATTGAAAATATTATCATGTTATCAAGTTATCATTTCCAAAAGTTTATATTCCCTACAGAACCAGTTGTGTCCATGCGGGCTGTCCGTCCAGTAGTTACCTCTGTTCGTGGAAGGACGACAGTGTTGGGCTGCATTTGGAGTGTGTCTGGAATTGACCAAACAAACATTTCTTTGTCATGGTCAAAAGTAGGCGGGGTAGGTATTGTTTTAAGCTATGTCTTATCTGATCAAAATCAACGTCATTACTTGGTACTAACTTTAAAGAGATTATAGGGTACATGTATGTAAAATATCTGTGAGTTACAATGCATATATCCATGATGCATAGATATTAACAGTTCGCAGTGCGCTATCTTCGAGTATTGCCTAATGAACCCCCGTGAATGATCCCATCACAGTCCTCGATTTGGTGCCTTATATATTGTTATGTTAGAAAAGAGTTTCCAGTAAGCTGCATCAGAGTACACTTAATGTTAGATAAGTGTTTCCAGTAAGCTGTATCAGGGTACACTTAATGTTAGATAAGAGTTTCCAGTAAGCTGTAACAAAGTACACTGAATGTTAGATAAGTGTTTCCAATAGGCTGTAACAAAGGTACACTGAATGTTAGATAAGTGTTTCCAGTAAGCTGTAACAAAGGTACACTGAATGTTAGATAAGTGTTTCCAGTAAGCTGTATCAGGGTACACTTAATGTTAGATAAGTGTTTCCAGTAAGCTGTATCAGGGTACACTTAATGTTAGATAAGTGTTTCCAGTAAGCTGTATCAGGGTACACTTAATGTTAGATAAGTGTTTCCAGTAAGCTGTATCAGGGTACACTGAATGTTAGATAAGTGTTTCCAGTAAGCTGTAACAAAGGTACACTGAATGTTAGATAAGTGTTTCCAGTAAGCTGTATCAGGGTACACTTAATGTTAGATAAGTGTTTCCAGTAAGCTGTAACAAAGGTACACTGAATGTTAGATATAAGTGTTTCCAGTAAGCTGTATCAGGGTACACTTAATGTTAGATAAGTGTTTCCAGTAAGCTGTAACAAAGGTACACTGAATGTTAGATAAGTGTTTCCAGTAAGCTGTATTAGGGTACAATTAATGGTGATAGCAGTTTCTGGTTAGTTGATTGGATACACGTTATGAAAGATAACAGTTTCCGGTAAGCTGTATTATGGGTACATGTCATGCAAGATAAGTGTTTTCAGGAAGCTGTGATAGAGTATATGTTATTGGGACTTTACATATGTCCCTTGATTTAACATAAAAAAAAGTTTTGAAATAAAATCGTAGAAATGTTTTGTGATAAGTAAATTGTGTATATAATATGATTTATGATAGGTATTGTCACCTGGATATGTGGAAGAGAGAGGAAGTCTGACTATATATGATGTAGATTACAGCGATGGCGGCATATACAAGTGTCGTCATGACAAACAAGGCGATGACGTCACATCGGCCACTGTGGAACTTGTCGTGAAAGGTAATCCTAAATCATGTAACTATGTATTGTCCAGACAAATTATATTTGCATAATGACTTTAACAATAGATCGATGTTCTAAAGTGGAGAACCGTATGTAACTGCAGTGAAAATTATAACATGTGGCCAGTGAGTGTTATTATCATATCTAATTTCAGAATCTGAACAAAAGGTTTTGAAGATACAAATATTTTAGATTATTTACCATTATGCAGACAGATATCCAATTTGATTTTATATTCTGTACCGTAGATTCTGCAGGTAAAACTAATTTTTAGCATCAAGAAGAATGAATCTGATTACATCTGCAATAATTTGGCTATGACAATCAGTGAACATAATAATGAAAAATGATAATAATAACCTATTTTAGTGTCGGAAAACAACTTGTCTGTGTTCTATTACACATATTGTAAATGACATTCCCATGTAACAATATATCGAGTGTCACTTGACTTGTATCCAGAGTTATGTCCCTTGAACTCTGAGAGTTTGAGAAACCCTCTGTGAATAGGTTCATTGCACATCAACCTTTGATTTTCTTGATATTGTCTGAAATGTCATTGTGTACATTGTGTACAACAATCAATTAAAATACCATTAACCCAAAAACACATCCTTGGCATGTCTCACTGGTTAGCGGTGGGCGCGTTCGTGTTGCACCGACAGTACCAACTCTTCTTTAATTTTACATACAAAACACATGCTAAAACAGTTTAAATTCTGATTTAAGTTAAAATAATTTAGCAAACGCTAACATGAATATGTTTTGTGGTGTAAAAGAAAATACATAACTGTTTCAAAATTGATTTGTATTCTGTATGGTGGAATTTATATAGCGTTCATTATTGCAACCGTTGGACTTTTATATTTAGTACCGTCCTTGACCATGAAGACCAAGAGAGACGATATAATAGTATACCGAGGTAGTAAGGCCGTGCTGGAGTGCGTCATCACCGGTGACGTAATTGTCGCTGCACCTATATACTGGACACGCTCGAATGGAGTGAGTATTATGGCGATGTCACAAACCGATAAAGCGGTCTTCAAATAAGGAAATGGAAAAATAGGTGAATTTACATTAAATGATTCGACTAATTCAACGAGTCATAATTATTATTTTATTACGTACATCGAGAGGTATTCTGAACTATTAGTTGAAAATCATTGTTGTGGCAATTTATGATAAGATTTATGGCGCTACAGAGTCATAAATCTCCCTGACGGCTAATAACTCTGATTCTGATGTAGGTACTTCCCGTCCAGTCTTCCAATAGAGACGGACGCTTGATTATAGATGACGTGGTGCTAAAGGACGCCGGAACTTATGTTTGTGACGTCAATATAACGGAAGTTGTAGTGAACCCAGGCGTAATCACACTCCAGGTGAAGAAAGGTCATTTTCCTTTTTAATAACCTCTTCTATTCAGTCCGTCGAAACAGAAATTTAAACATTCTTTTGTGTTACTTAAATTCACGAGCAACGAGATTGTACAAAAGACACACAAGTGAAGAACACCTTTTTTTATACAAATTTAGATACACTTAAGCTTAATAATGACGAATACATCATCATACGACTGTTTTGTCCTTCCAGGATTCGCCATTGATGTTTATCTCAGGCGAATAAGAAAAATCAAATATATAGATTTTTTTTTCAAAATCTAGAGGGGGAGATGAAAGGTCCCATAATTCAATCAAATCAGTAATTCCCATATAACTGATGATTTTAAAAGAATGTCAAGTACATTGGTATAATCTAAACAGTGCTGTTCAAATGAAAACGTGGCATACAGGTTACTGTAAACCTCGGGAATTAAAAATGCTGTGGCAGCATCTACCACCTGCGGTCTCTAGAATTGCACGAAAGACACACAAGTGAATTGCACATTTCATTGATTAGATACAGTAGAGCCCAAAGATGAATTACGCTTCATCACACAGCTGTCTCGTCCTTCAAGGAACTCTCCATTTGACAATGCATATAAAGCTGAACTTAAATCAATAAATCATTCCTCAATTCAGAGCCAATGGTGCGCGTGAGATTGGTTGGAGGTTTGGAACCTTACGAAGGGCGCGTTGAGGTTTTGTATCGGAACCGTTGGGGGACAGTTTGTGACGACGGCTGGGACAACGCTGATGCAAGCGTAGTGTGTCGAATGGCAGGCTTCACGTAAGTCAACGAGACTACACACTAAATTAATGCATTCATATATATAGTGTAGTCTGTGTACGTGTTCTAGTGTTCCTTTCATCCCTTTTCCAGCAGTTTGAATTATCTCCCTTGACAATGAACACAATTGTGTAATATTCCGGTACCAATCTGACTTTTAAAACTACTGTTTTTTCCACATGGTTACATTTTTGTATTTGATACAACACGTATCACACTTGGTTACGATTGATTTATCAATATGGTCCCACAGGTTGGGTGGAGTAGCCAAGACTAAGGCCTTTTACGGAACCGGAAGTGGAACCATATGGCTAGATGACGTGAATTGCACGGGCACAGAAGACACGTTAGAAGATTGTGTCTCGAATCCATGGGGAGACCACTCTTGTTATCATCAGGAGGACGCAGGAGTCCAGTGTATTGTTGATCTCCCTTTCTGTATGTAATATTACACTCACGCTGTATATGTTATACAATGTTATACGTTATATCATCATAGATGCATTATCAAAATTATATTGATACCATATAACCGGCCTGTCATTTAGTGAATTCAATCGTGTAATAATTTCTTAGCTGTCATTATTGTAATTAATATACCCGAAAACGTTTTTCATTGGATGTGTCCTTCAAAAATCAATTATGATGTCATAATATGGACAATGATGTTACGTCATGAATTGAAAATAGCGCAACAAAATGGCTGCTTCCGTTTGAATTTGTCCTCGACATGTCATTGTCATTTCTGAGTTATGCTATAAAAAAGAGAAGTGAAAATTCATTAAAGATTCTATATACAATACATATTAACGTCTTAGACAATAGTGTTATAAATATATAGGACTTTAACCCGATGTCACGTCGCCAGAACACTGACTTTCGTCAGCTAGACATAACACCTGAAACCTGCATCGATCAGTCGTTTTGATATTGTATAAATAATTCGTGACATAAATGTAGTGAAAAAAACATCACTTCGATTCTCGTCATCGGACTTGTAAAGGTAAATAGCCTTATGCAAGTCATACTTTAAAAATAAAAGTAGCATCATGGTTTCAATTAAACATGAACTTTAGCTCTGTAATTTTAAAGAATTTTTTTTCTGGTTGAGCCAGTTCTGAAACATCCTGCTTTCCCTTTGTTTGGTCGTTGATTTGATTAAATTAATAATAAAACCCCATTGTCATATATTGTAATAAATAAAGGAAATACCTAGCCATGGCTTTTTTAGTTCAAGGATTACGGTTGTCTGGTGGACGGTTGCCTGGAGAAGGTCGAGTAGAAATAAGCCGATTCGGGGTGTGGGGCAGCCTCTGTGACGAGGGATGGGACGACAGGGATGCAACCGTTGTTTGTAGGATGATGGGTTTGTAAGTATCACGTAGTAAGTTGGTGGTTTCAAATGTGTCGCGAATTTGCTATGTAAAGAAATACTGTAGTTTTACAATCTTCCGCAAAGTACATTACAGTTGTGACTGTAAGGAACGACAACTCTGATAAGAAATTGATAAAGTCAGTGTGAGGAAGAACTCTTGAAAGAGTTTATGTCAGACTGGATTACCTGCCTTAGTTACGACTTTCCTTCGCAAGACGGCGCTCGTTGAAACTGTTTCGAATAACTGGCCAAAGATTTCATCGATAATGTGATGTTGAAAATTACAGACATGACGAACGCCGCTTGAAACAATCACATTGCATTTAAACTGTAGAAAAGTTTCTATAAACACACTAGCAATGTTGTTACGGCATTGTAGAATACATATTTGACTACATTGTCGTGATCATTGAATACAGACATTTGCATTTTTCGTAAAAAAAAATCCCAAAATTGACACGTTGGAAAGGAATATCCCATGCTAGATATCCAGCGGAGCATAAGAAATAAACTATGGCAGGAAATCCAGTCTAGTTTTTATGGGCGTCAATAACAACAACAAGGAGTATTTACTGAGATTGTTCGTGTTTCCTCTACAGTAACTTCGGTGGGTATAGGAACAGACCAGGACTTTACGGAATCACTGACACACCAGCATGGATGACAAATATTCGTTGTCATGGGGACGAGCCAGACATTTTTCACTGTGGACATCGTGGATGGGGGCCTCACGTCTGTCCCAATGACAACCACGCGACGGTCACGTGTGCATGACGAAGCAAATGCACCAAGTTTTACCTGTACGTGAGGACGCGTGCACGCATGCATTGAGTCATATGGGTACTGTTGTCATGGCGACCATAACGAATCAATCGAAAAACACTCCGTGCTTGTTGTGATCTCTCATGTTTAGGGAGTTTGTGATGGGTTTATTCACAATTTATGAGGATATACGGCTATCGTCATTCTTTAAATTCAAATGTATTTCTTTCGTCCTCTTTTAAAGTTAAAAGAGGTTAACTGTGTTGAAAGCTTTGAAACATCTTCAAAGTCATGAGGAATATAGTCATGTATTTAAGGTTTTTATCTGCAAGATGGCTCTGAGATACATAGTTATAATAGTACTTATCAATCAGTACTTATTTTTATGTTTGTTTAAAGTTTAAATTACATTAGTAAACACATGAACGGTTATGGGATTTATATTCCCCGACATTTCGGGATCATTGTCAGTTATGTATTTCATGATTCATTATATGATTTCATATGGTTTTATAAAGTATTGTTTGAATTCAGGTCATTTGTGTCATTTGTGTAAATATTGAATCTACTTTTCACAACAGTCAATGGTTCTTTATACCTGTTCTGTGATTGCTGACTGCACGACTGTGTGTTTGATCTGAACGGAATGACCTTGACCCACTGTCAAGGTCACAGGATCGTTTCGAGACCAGTGTTTAACACAAAATTGAAGTTCGAATTTACTAATTGTCAAGCAACTATAATTTCCCTAAATATTATACAGTTAGTAATGCTTTTCGGTTCGCTATCTTATAATCCGCAATTTCTGATTACGAGAAGCCATAGTGTCAAATTGCCATGTTCATTATCTAAGGGAGAATGTTATTATCTATGTTCAAACTAAAGACACTGACAGAAAGTCATGATAACATCAGAATTTCCATAACATACCGATAGATACTGCTATAAATGATACTTATAAAAAGCTAACATGTTTTCTTGGCAAATTCCTTTAAATGAGTAAAAAACGACATTTTTGCAATGAAAATAAAACGACAACAGATAACTTCACAAAATCCCAGAGGATTATAAAAAATATTCAAGCAAGAAGCAAAGTTTTCTGTGACAAACATCGCTTCAATTGTACATTGTTTGAGCGTCGTGTGCCTGACCGAAAAATCAGAGTTGAACGGCTACAGCGTCCCTTCACAGGATCCATTAAAAAAAGATTTCGACGTCACCATAATAATTGCCGTTCACCGTCATTAGGCCATACGACAGTGATTCCAGACGAGTCCCGAAGTGTGTAGGTGACGAGGACAGATTTTTTTAGAACTGTTGCTTAGTGAAACCAGTATTGACATCGGGACGAAATTTCAGGAATAGCTGTTCTACCATTCTTAAGACGTCATTTTCCAACCAGCGCACTCAAGTCACGTCAACTGAACATTCCTGCAGCAGAATAATATGCAGGTGTTTGGTTGGTCATCGAAATCCCCTAATTTGCCACCAGCTGAGTGAAATAACTTGATTTGTCACCAGTTGAGTGAAATCACTTGATTTGCCACCAGCTGAGTGAAATCACTTGATTTGTCACCAGTTGAGTGAAATCACTTGATTTGTCACCAATTGAGTATGCTTGGGCAACGCGTAAAAGGACATACAAATCATCTGTCGATCTTGCCCAGACCTTGAACAATGAATTGAATTGTGTATAGTTCCACTCATTCATACCCGTTACTAATGGTTACTAGTGGTGTTACATTTAATTTTGATCCGAACAACGTCGAATAAAACCAATTATTTTACAATTAACCGTGATAGTAGTGTTATCTGAATTGATCAAAGACTATATTCATAAATGACTGATTCGGAATTATATAAGGACGTATTGATTAATCGGAACGTGAAGTCTTTCCTTACTAACTTGTTTAAGATATAACCGTCTCACCACATCCAATACACCTGGGTAGTTTTATCTATGTTAATAAAGTAAATGTTTTACGTGCGTGTCAGAATTGTTTGGTCCGGTTTAAAATATTTCTATGAAATAAACGAAAAATGCATTCGAAGCCAAAATTTCGCTCTCGATATAGACACTGTTCGTAACACAAGATCTGCCTTGTTTTATACGATAAAAAATGTATATCGCGAACCAAACCAAATTTATACCCAAAGTAATTTCGAATCACGAGAAGTTAACATTGTTTTGAAGGAAGTCAATCTGCATGTATTTATACTTGCTGGCGTTTTTGTATATAAACACACAGGCCTTAGATGTATAAATAACTATTAGTGTCGGGATAACGTGAGAAAATTAGCGTCTGGTTTCATCCATGGTCACTAATCATATCACTGTACCTTGTGTTACAATACCTTATCAACACGCACACGGCTGCAATCTGCAGCTGATCGCCATTTAGGGTTTAATGTCGAACCCTCAAAGTATAATCGCCTTTTAAGGGTTTCGGATCCTTATTTACCGATCTGCATACGTTGCCATGTATATATAAATTAATGTCACATTTGGTATGGAAACAGTTCCTTCTTTATACACACAGATGTAAACGGTGTCGAATAACGAGCTACACGCGTGTAAAATATGCAAAATATGTACAAATGTAAATAATTCGATAGAGGATGAGATACACTTTTTAATTAAATGTAATGTATATAATGATATTAGATCATCCTTATTTAGAGCAGGAATCGAAATAAGAAATGATTTTTTAAGCCTTAACGATTTAGAAAAATTTGATTTTATAATGTCTTGCAGGGAATTACAAATTCCACTTGCTAATAATTTATACAATATGTGACTAGCACTTTAAGTGAGTAATCAATGTTTTAACAGTGTCTTGTAAGCCATTTCTGGCTGAATATCACGTATGATTACATTTTTAGAATATATGTTTTAATTGATTCGTTGGGTAAATCAGAAACTTTTTTATATCGATTGATTATCTATTATTAATTATAATTAATTATCGTAGGTAGCACAAACTCAACCCTTGGAATGCCAAATTTCACTACTGATGAATGTATCATAAATAATTTTTGCCATGTGTATTGTTTTATTATTTCATATATAACATGTAGCTACAGTATGGATGAGACCTATTTTAGTATTACAATATATATTATAATTTATATATTTCGTATATAATCCAGAGAGCTTGTTAGGTAGGGGCTGTCACATTAAGTAAGTTTTAATTCATGATATTGGATTTACCTGGTTTAGTTTTATGATTCACTTATATTGTGTACTTTACATATGATGTGCATGATATATGACACTTTAATAAACAAATTTGTATTGTATTGTATTGTATTGTAATGCATGAAGACTTTACCTGTCGAATGGGATGTATAATTGTGTGTGATTGTTGAATTTTTCACTGACACATTAGTCTTCCTTCACTTAGCTGACAATAAAGACTTGTATAATTGTGTGAAGAATTTGTCGGGGGATAGCATATCTCAGGTAGCAACATCATGATTCAAGTTGATGTTTGGATACTCTCGTGCGTATTCCTGTTGATTGCTGTGTCACTTTCTGGGCTGTCAGCCACCACGCCATGTGTATGTCTGTCAGAACCTATGAAGTCCGGGTCCCTGGGAAGCCCGATTCTTCTTCTTGAAAACACGAACGGGTCGGGCGGATATCTCGTGGCCGAACAGACAGGTAAGATACACGCTTACACCTCGGACTGGAAGGAACAAAAAGAATTATTCCTTGATCTGAGTGACGAGGTGGCTTTCGATGATAGGGACCCGACGGACGAGAGAGGACTTTTATCATTTGCACTACATCCGGAATATCGCGTGAACCAAAAGTTTTATACATATTCAACTCGGACATATGACGAACAAGACTACATTGTGGTTTCCGAAATAACGGAGAAGGACGGGCAAGGGGACTTATCCACAGAGAAGATTTTACTGGCCATCCGACAACCTTCTCCGTTACGGAATGGTGGAACGGTAAGTATACGATAATACTAATTGGTTGCCTTTTGTTCATATTATGCACACTTTTATATGGATGTCTACAGCTTAGTACACATGGAGTTTTCGGTCCTTTGGCAAAACAAATCTATGCGACTATGTCATGCAAAAAACTTTGCGTCGCTTCCGATGACAAAAACCGGAACAAATAAAGATTATGGTCTAGGTTAAGATAACATTAAAGACAAATCTTGTGAAAATGCTTATGTGATCTATGTAAACATCAACATAAAACCTTTCATTGTCCCATCACACCAAAGTTTTTCTTTATTGGCGTGAATCTTGGCATTCATTGTAAACAATAATCTGAACGTTTTGGGCGGCCCTTAGCATAACTGACGAGACCTAAGAAAGTTGTATGATGCAGTTGATTAATCATTAAGCAATCCGGTGTCTAATTCTAAATTTGCACTGAAATGTGCTATTCAATCGTATGTCTTTTGTTTAATCTTTGATAGTTTGTCACGACTGTGAAGCGCGACGTTACAAAACAACACGAAAATATCAACAGGTGAAAATAATCATAATACACACTCACATCCAATGAAAGATTTACAGGGAGTTTCATGAAAAAGAGCAAGGATAATGAGACTAGGTGTTCCAGAAAAGTAAGCGTCTTCTACTTCATCGACAAAACCGGCATTCCCAAACTAGAACAAAGTATACAACAAAGGAACCAATATTCAAACTGCTATGACACAAATGTCTTTGGCAGCAACTGATTCCAAAGACATCTCTGATATAGATAAGAATACAAATGTTTTTTAAAACATTTTAGTTACATTTGGTCAATCAGGAAAATATTTTACCACGTGTAACAAGATGATCTTTTCAGGGTAATAAATATGTTAGTGACACACTGTACAATCCATAAACTAATTGCTCGACGCCATGTGTTTGTCTCCTTGTTTTTGAAACTAGATACCAGATCATATGTATAATTGTAATTAAGTCGTTTAGAACCTAGACATCAGCCTCTAAAAAAACAAAGAATAGAATTTCTTGATTAAACTGGTGAAATCAAAATTTACATTTGTGGTTTAAAGTCAATGCAAGTTTTTGTAACTGCGTTGTGTTTTCGTGATTGCACGAGTTTTCGGCCATGAAGATGCACCTGTAAATCATTCTATTTAAGACGGTCAATTATACTCTTCTGTAAACCCAAAATGTTAAGGACTCTGTGGTTTGGAAAAGACAAAAAATCTTAGCAATGTTTGGGGAATGACAGCAAGTAATTTAGGTGTTTGTTTCAATTCTACAGGTTTTGTTTGGACCTGATGGCTTCCTATATATCAGTATTGGGGACGGAGGAGTGCCAGGAAACACGGGTAACGAACAGCTAGCGAATCAGGCTCAGGATGGGTAAGTTATCGGAATAGTCATTTCTGGCATTGACCTAGAAAAATGCAACTTGACACAGTTTAACTCCACGATTTGAACCATTTATTGTAAAAGTGACAATTCATGTTGTGTTGATAAAAATCAAAGTAGCGGATATTATTGTTTATTTCTGTATTTTCCATTTATTTACAGACAAAGTCTTCTCGGTAAAGTACTGCGGATAGATGTAAACAATCGAGAAGTTATTGACGATATTTTACGTTACTTCCGGGTTCCCAATGACAACCCATTCATTGGCAACCAGAGTTTCCGGCCGGAGGTGTATGCGTATGGCGGTAGAAACATGTTCCGGTGCAGTTTTGATACGAGTAAATATTCTCAAAGACATTGCAATGGATTACATGTATATGGATACCCAAAGTATCAAACAGTTCTCACACGCATGCTGTTTAATGATTTTTATCAAAATATCAACGTAAAAAGAGGCAAAAACTCAGTTCAAAGTGATACAAACTAAACACGAGAAAGAAAAAAAAATACATAAATACTGGTTTTAAGTCATGCAATGGTGGGAAAGATTTGATTATAAAGTTTGAATATTTCATGCATTGAACTACTGTTTGTAATGAGTTAAAAAACCATGTTGTTGATTTAGTTTCTTTAAGTGTTATACTTTCCTAATAGTTACTTAATCTATGGTGTTATTTTTGGTATGAAAAAGTTTCTCCGCTCAAAAGCCCATGCTTAATAGACATTGTAAGACAATAGTGTCTGCTCTTGTTGAACACTGAGCCGTTTTTAGAGTGTCGTTTTTAGAGTGCCGTTTTTAGAGTGCCCTTTTTAGCCGTTTTAGCCCTTTTTAGAGTGCCGTTTTTAGAGTGCTGTTTTCTAAATCATGAATTTGTGTTACTTTTTAGATAGCCCGGGAAAGGAACTTTACTGTGGAGACAATGGAAACCACGACCAGGAGGAAATTAACATCATAAAGAAAGGTGGAAACTATGGCTGGAATATAAAGGAGGGAAACATTTGTTTATCACCGGGGAACTGTCATCTGGGTATTTATTTCTTATCTAGGTTATCGCATTGTATAAAAACTTCTAATTTCAAATTAACCAAACTAATTAAATAAAAGAGCCATTGAGGTCATGAACTTGTTCTTTAAAAAAAATTACTTGAACATTTCAGAAATTTGTATCCAAGTTAACTTCAGTAATTCTAAATGCACTACCCACTACATTATGCGATCTCTACGTTGAATGATCTTTCTGGTCTGTACATCGTGTCGTTTTAGAGTTTAATATCGACATAATCTATGTTATACGACATCATTTCTTTACGTGTTTGATGCTCGTAAGTATGTCTACTGGTTCCGTTGCTGTATATCTTGTTCTCATATAAGAAAGTGATTTTACTTGCTTGGTTTGACCAATGTTTACAAGGCGGGTGTCGTCGTTGAAGCAGTAGACGCTTACTATCTGGAACACATGGTCTTATTCTCCTTATACGTTTTTCAGGTGTCACCGGATAAATCTTTCTTTTTGTTTATATTTCCCCCTAGTTAGGTCATCTGACCCGAAGGGTCCAGATGACCTATAACCATCGTGCTTCGTCCGTCGTCGTCCGCTGTCCGCCGTGCGTCGTCCGTAAACGTTTCATTCAAAAAACTTCTTCTCAAATACTAGAAGGCCTAGGGGCTTATACCTGGCCCATAGCATGCTGGCATGGAGCCCTACAAAGTTTGTTCAAATTAATTACCTTGACCCACTTTCAAGGTCACAGGTGTTAAATATGTTAAAATATGCAAATGATTTTTCAATAACCAAAATGATTAGAGTGCTGATATTGGGCCGGTAGGATGCTTTGTGGAAGTGTTACCAAATGTGTTCAAGTGAATGACCTTAACCCACTTTCAAGATCACAGGGTTCAAATATGTTAAAATCTGTAAACGACTTCTTCTCAGGAACCAAAAGGCTCAGAGTGCTGATATTGGGCCTGTAGGATGCTGGGAGGAAGGGCTACCAAGTTTATTCAAATGAATAAAGCCCACTGTTTTAACGGCAGACTCACTGTTGTTAGAGTTTGACTTGCTTTTTGCCAGATGACCGTTAAGGCCCATGGGCCTCTTGTTTTATAGTATTGAATTTGGGTTTTGATTTTAATTGATATGTTTGCATTTTCTTACCGTTTCACTATACCGTGATATAACTCCAGTTAATATTGTCTCCACAGAAAATGAAGTATTACCTATATACACGTTTAACAATTCGGAGACACACAATGCTGTCATTGGGGGCTACGTATATCATGGAACAGCTTTCCCGGACTTTGTCGGACACTATGTGTTCGGAGACGTTGTAGGGTATGTATCATTTATTGGGAAGGTGTAACGTTTCCTAGGGATACATTTCCCGGAAATTGTATTTACAAGTTTGTGTATTTGAATGATGTATCATTCTTTGCAAGTTTCCAAACCCTCAGCATTGAGTCATTAGAGAAGTGTAATACAATTGTACGGTATTTTCGACAGGATAGAAATGTAAATTATCAGACAGTAAATGCCATTACATGAACAATGAGATTGTGACGGTACACCTGGTAAAATAACGATAAAGTACGTATTATTCTTAAATACAATAAAACAGGAAATATACACATAATCATCGACTTTTTTCTTAATACGAAATTTACAGCAGATATAAATGACACAGCATAACAATTTATATGATAAGTTACTCACAATGATTGTACATGGCATATCAAGACAAATCATAGTGAATGTATGAATGTTTTTGTTATCTGTTGGTCTATATTACACCCATGTTAAAGCACTTACATTGTTAACAGATATTACATATAACTTCTCGTTTGTATTTTTGTACTACAGGGGGTTGATGAGTCTTGACAATAGTACTGGTCAATTGGTACGATACAACATCTCAGTCTGTTCCAAAGCTGCATGTCAGTGTAACGCACGTGCCGACTACGGCATGTTCTTACGCACGCTCAGTCAAGACAATAAAGGTAATCCTAAGAGAAACGCATCCTGATTCACATATCCAGTCAACCAAGCCATTGTTTATGAAATAAGTACTGATTAAATAAAGATGGCAACAATTCAACTAAAACTCATTACTATAAAATGGAAATGTAAAAAAATCAGTTTATTCACTAATTCATGGTCATGGAAAAAACACAACAAATACAAAAGATTACATGATGTATCAATTTTCTGTGAACAGGAGAACTCTATGTGATAACATCGACGTTTAGTGCGAGTGGCGCTTCCGCAGCAGTTTTAAAACTGGTCCCAAAGAGGTAGGTATGATGTAACAAGCGGTCAGTTAAATAAGACCAACACATCTATATAGTTAGTGTTACGTCCAAAGTAATTCTGATTATCACTTGGTAGCAGTGGAACTTTTAAGAAATTTACAGTATTATTTGTAAAATTTTGAAAAGTTTGTATCAACAAAATCCCTCAATCTATTATTTGATAGGTAAAAGATATACTCCTCTGAGAAGTTTGAAAAAATCCAACATCTTTGAAAGGTTGGATTTTAAAAAGGGAATTAAAAGCAAACAATATGTTGAATATGTTGCTGCACTTTTTTTCCCGATACAGACGTCAACATATATTAAACAATAATTTATTTATTTTAATGTGTTATCCTTAATTTTTCTAGATTAATAGTCATTCTTTGTTATTTCAGCGGCAACCTTTTCAAAAATAGAAATAGAAATAGTGTTAAACATGTGACTCTGACACCCCTTAATGCTAAGTATGTGGAATAATTTAGCTCTATTGATTGTATAGTAAGTGATGACTATAAGGTGTTTTCTATGAGTGACAGTGACCTATTTTGTCGTAAAGATGTTTTCTATGAGTGACAGTAACCTATTTTGTCGTAAAGGTGTTTTCTATGAATGACAGTGACCTATTTTGTCGTAAAGATGTTTTCTATGAGTGACAGTGACCTATTGTGTCGTAAAGGTGTTTTCTATGAATGACAGTGACCTATTTTGTCGTAAAGGTGTTTTCTATGAATGACAGTGACCTATTTTGTCGTAAAGGTGTTTTCTATGAATGACAGTGACCTATTTTGTCGTAAAGATGTTTTCTATGAGTGACAGTGACCTATTTTGTCGTAAAGGTGTTTTCTATGAATGACAGTGACCTATTTTGTCGTAAAGATGTTTTCTATGAGTGACAGTGACCTATTTTGTCGTAAAGGTGTTTTCTATGAATGATAGCTACCTATTTTGTCGTAAAGGTGTTTTCTATGAAATATAGTGACCTGTTTTGTTGGAAAGGTGCTTTCTATGTGTGACAGTGACCTATTTTGTCGTAAAGATGTTTTCTATGAGTTACAGTGACCTATTTTGTCGTAAAGATGTTTTCTATGAGTTACAGTGACCTATTTTTTCGTGACTTCATCTTTTATTTAAATTGGCTTAATGTATACATTATCAAACGCCATGTTTTGCTATTTCAGTGCCTCTCCGGTTACGTGTGCAGCAGGGACAGCCCAAATATCTTTGGCATTGACCGCTCTCGTTTTTATGTTTGGTCATGTGATGAAGACCATAACGAGTTAAAATAAGTGACCTGTTTAGTATGATATTCTTCAGGAGTAAATATGGACATCTCGCCTCATGATATCAATTTAAAAAATTGTTTTTACCGAGGTTCACACAATACATTGTACATCATTCACTTCAACACTTAATAATTTAATTAGTTTGGAACAATTAAGAGGGGGTATTTACTGAAATCCTTGATATACTTTTTGAAAAATGCAAATTATCGGACATGAAAATGGTTGACACTGTGGAAGAGTTTTAACAAGTGTCAATGGTAACAAGGATTTCTGTACAAAGTGATGAATACTCTGGTCGGACTGACACTGTAATGTAAGGAGACACCTACTAGCCGCTTCAAGGTGAAGCGAGATCCATGCCTGTCACGAAAGCAGTATGTCCTTGTATGTCTCATGTCCAGAGAAATGGCCAATCATTGATAAAAACACGTGGAAATTAACGCGGTGCGCATTCGAATAAAATTAACTTGTTTTGAATTTCAAAATTTTGTTGTCAATATCATTAACACGATGTCTGCCAAGTTATCATATCATCATTTACGTTTTACATGTCAATCTTACGTTTAGTTTTTTATCTATTTTATATAAAATATATATATATAAGCAATGTCCCAGTGTCTTCTGTTTTAGCAAACTATGTAAAAGTCAAGAGAACCTGTACTGTCGTACATGACCAGTTATGTTTGTAGTTAATAGTGACTACTGCAATACAGGCAATGAATACAAATCGTTCGAATATGAAAAGTTATTGGGGTAAAAGAGATTAATGTCATTTAAACAACATGAAAACAGCAACTTACATATTTCCCATATATATATATATATATATTTCAGATGAAAAGTATTTGTTTATATTGTTACAATACCTTCGACAACTCGTTATACATTTGCACGCTTAGCTACCTCACAGGCTGTTTTGTAAATTAACGGACCAAGTGTGGTCGACTGCAGGAGGCTATTTGCGAAGTGTCTGGAAACAGTCTTCGAGTAGTCTCCCCTGGTCGGCCTCCGCTTGGTTTTTGGACATTCCTGAGTTGAGGATGTTATATAGCTTTGTACACTCCAGGTATCTATTCACAAATATTTCTCTGTCCTTTGTACCTGTGTGGTAAATCAGAAACTTATATGTGTATGACCTTTGCACGCCTGTGTTAATAAGGATTTACCTTACCACGTCTGTATTAGATGTGTATGACCACACGTCTGTGGTAATGATGTTTAACCTTACCACGTCTGTATTAGATGTGTATGACCTGATCACGTCTGTGGTAATGATGTTTAACCTTACCACGTCTGTATTAGATGTGTATGACCTGATCACGTCTGTGGAAATGATGTTTAACCTTACCACGTCTGTATTAGATGTGTATGACCTGATCACGTCTGTGGTAATGATGTTTAACCTTACCACGTCTGTATTAGATGTGTATGACCTGATCACGTCTGTGGTAATAATGTTTAACCTTACCACGTCTGTATTAGATGTGTATGACCACACGTCTGTGGTAATAATGTTTTACCTTACCACGTCTGTATTAGATGTGTATGACCTTATCACGTCTGTGGTAATAATGTTTAACCTTACCACGTCTGTATTAGATGTGTATGACCTGATCACGTCTATATTAATAATGTTTAACCTTACCACGTCTGTATTAAATGTGTATGACCACACGTCTGTGGTAATAATGTTTTACCTTACCACGTCTGTATTAGATGTGTATGACCTTATCACGTCTGTGGTAATAATGTTTAACCTTACCACGTCTGTATTAGATGTGTATGACCTGATCACGTCTATATTAATAATGTTTAACCTTACCACGTCTGTATTAGATGTGTATGACCTGATCACGTCTGTGGAAATGATGTTTAACCTTACCACGTCTGTATTAGATGTGTATGACCACACGTCTGTGTTAATAATGTTTAACCTTACCACGTCTGTATTAGATGTGTATGACCTGATCACGTCTGTGGTAATGATGTTTAACCTTACCACGTCTGTATTAGATGTGTATGACCTGATCACGTCTGTGGTAATGATGTTTAACCTTACCACGTCTGTATTAGATGTGTATGACCACACGTCTGTGGTAATGATGTTTAACCTTACCACGTCTGTATTAGATGTGTATGACCTGATCACGTCTGTGGTAATGATGTTTAACCTTACCACGTCTGTATTAGATGTGTATGACCTGATCACGTCTGTGGTAATGATGTTTAACCTTACCACGTCTGTATTAGATGTGTATGACCTGATCACGTCTGTGGTAATAATGTTTAACCTTACCACGTCTGTATTAGATGTGTATGACCACACGTCTGTGTTAATAATGTTTAACCTTACCACGTCCTGGATAATTGTGAATGAACTTATCACGTTTATCTTTGTTATGAATAAACTGTGGCTGTGATAGTGGTGAATTATTCATTATCCGTGATCATACCTGTTTCGTGTGGTAAACAAGGAAGGATTTCTACATCTTTCTGGTGCAATTAACTAACGACAGAGAGCCCTTCATGTCAGTGTGGAATGCCTGCATGAGTTCGATCTTTGTGGGGTTGTACGTTGCTCTTGTGGTGTTGACAAACTCCTCCTGAGCACAAAGAACAGCAACAAAAACTTCCGGAACAAAACTCAAAATCGTGTGTCAATTTAACAAGAAACATGCACTTAACGCCTATCATCTATTCATATAACAGGTAAGGCTATGCACTATACACTACTGTGAAATAATGTGTTTTTCTTGCGGTTAATTTTTGAAGGTTTGTTTTAATTAAAGAAGTGATTTCTGGGCGCTTAGTTTCGAAGATATATATAGCTCGATAAATCTACTTCAATTTTTTTCAACATTTCAAAAACATATGCGGATTTCGTGCAATTCAGTTACAGAAAGGGTGGTTCTTAAAAAAAGCAGAAATTTCTATTTTAAACGGAACTGAAATGAATGGAGCTGTTTTCTTTCCGTTCGTAGGCAAGTACGTACACATCATTCTAGCAACTTCATTCCTCAACCGATTTTGGTAAAACTTTACATATTGGTCAATACCTTGAACGAGTTCGTGTTTCTGCATGCCAAGTTCAACGTCAAGGTCATTTCTATTTACAGAAATCATTTGTCATCGCTCTAACCACTTCATTTTTAACCGATTTTTATCTTCACATATTGGCCGAATTTTCTAAATGGCAATTGATATTGTTCCTCTCTATGAAACATTCCAAATTTACTATATTGATAAGAAAATAGCTAACATGTGCGTTGATAGCTATTGAGAACATACCACGTCGCGCATGCATGGATTTCTCGCTCCAGGTGAAAGATTTTTCACTATAGATTATAAAAGCGGCATTTTAGAGAAATATAAATGTATCGTTTTGTATATTAAAATTCCAAAATGTATGTCTCTGATAGGTAAATTTAACATTTCTTCGTTAAAATTTTTAGATGAAAATTAGTTGTGTCAGTTTACGACTGACATTTCAAACTAATCATTTTTAACGAGAAGTGTACGATGCAGATATGATTATATCAGAGATACGTATTCTTGATTTCTTTAGATCCGGGTTCAGAATGTTTTCAGATACTATCGAGAATTTTAAGGAGGTAGGACGAGACAATTGCGGTACTGTGCAATCCCACATCCCACTGTTATAGACAAATGCACACTTATTTGTACGTATACCTATGTAAATATGTAGGGAGATAGTCCAGTAAAATCTTCTAGACTGACAATTCATTATGTACCAAGGCTATTTATATCGTATAGTGAACGCATAGTAATTGTTTTTCACAATATTGCCATCATCTGTGCACAGCTCATATGTCAGACGTTTGTCTACACCACCCCAAAATGGCCCACGAATCACTTGGCTCATCGTCATTAAGTTTACCTGTGTCCTGGACATAGGTGTTAATTGCTATACGCCCCATAAATTTACTATTAAAGGGGGTGTTAAATGTGTTAATATCCGTATCTACTGTCAGTGACCTCTGAACGTCGGGAAAACAAACTCACATACCTAACCCCCATTAGACGCCTTTCGCAATCTATTTGAGGAATTTCACGCTGCAAAGGCTTCAAAAACAGGTTTGCGCCTACGTTATATATACTGTAAACAAACGAAAATGGTGACTCCCACGGAGACACGTTTATGGCGAAAAAAAGGTTTCTACGTTAGAGAAAAAGCCTAGAGCTAAATGCCCAACAACTAAAACATCTACGTTATACCCTTCCGAAACAATCTCATCGGTCGGGTATAAGTAACCGCAATTGTTCACCGACCTATACGAGTGTCCTGTGCCTATAACATACATATTTCCCTCTACCCTACCAGTTGCGGGAAATGTAGATTATTGTATGATTGTACAACATCTTCTTGTACAAGAAGAAATACTCCTATGCCAATATCATAAGAAGATTTTACAAAACACACACAAGTGAATAGCACCATTTCATAATTTAGAGTGAGATACAGTAGAGGCAATAAATTAAACTGTATCATACAGATGTTTCGTCCTTCCAGGACTCGTTAGGGGTGCTTAGGGTCTACAGTTTGGAGTCTGGGAGGCGGCCAGGAAAAATCCAAAGTGATAAAAAGAAAAGTCAAAATCTAGACGGTGAGGTGCATCAGCCTCATATTTAGGTCAAATCGCAATTTTCATACACCAGACAATTTTAGAATAGCGTCAAGTACATGAGTATTTTGTGAACCGTGCCACTATTCGAGTGAATTTAACCGTGGCAAGCAGGTTACAGCAAACTTTGGGGACTTAAGTCCACTAGTAGTGTCTACCACCTGCTATCTTAAAGATTGAACAGAAGACACACGAGTGAATAGCACCATTTCATGATTAATACTATAATACAGTTGAGCCAAACAATAATTCTATTGTTACAATTTACAATAATATGACGTGTAACCCTTGTTAACGTTAGCCACATTGTACTGACCGCCAAGAAATATTTTCTCTTTAGCTCGAACGGTTCAGTGTTAAACTAGTAATTCAGAGGTCCCAGGTTCTAATGCTAGTAGAGACATTTAAATAGGCAATCACTCTTATCTGAAATGATATCATGTTATTGTCGCTAACTTATTTAGATCACATTGTAAATAGCTGTATAAAATAAGCGACTAAGGAACATGTTTCCATAGAATTTTCCAAGTTTGTATTATAAAGGTTAAGTGTAAAAATAATTTTGAATTGCACGGATCACGCCTATTACTGATGTTCGATTGAAACAATCTCTCTTTTTCGAATGCTTTACTCATCGACAAACAAATACAAAGAAGAAAGTGAAAGTTAAAAGAAATTAGAGAGGATACCAAAACGATACTCTTGAAACACATGAATCCGTTCCCAACACTTAATCTACCTGCCAAAAGTCTTATTACGTAAAATCATAAATGTTTCGTATTTTCGCAAAATAATTAGCGATATCATCCTTTTGTAAAGAATGAAGTATTTATGCTATACATCTGATTCTATCACTTATTCCATTTTCACAAATACTGGTTTTAAATGAAAACAGTAGAAACATTTACCTCTGTCATCTTTCCATTTTCCCAAAAATCTTTCCAAATACTTGTGAACAAACAAGTCATGCATGTCCCCGCGGACATTGTCGTGGTAACGCCCACTGTCTCCCATCACAAAAGTGATCACCACCACGTACCCCCCTACAAGTAAAACATATATTTAATACATGAATTTACGTAACTAAGCGTCAGAAAGAAGTCTGTAAAACATTTCAGACAAAAAAAAAAAAAAAAAAACCCAAAAACCCCAAAACCCCCCCAAAGAAATATGTCTTCAAATGTGCAGTCAATATTTAAGTACGAATTTAAGTACGAAGGTATCGGTGACGCTAAAATTATCGTTCACAAAAAAACCCATTAAAGTTCTCTGATTTCAGATCACAAATAAAGTATTACTAGTATTTAATTAGATAATATACTTCTTCCCATACTCTAAAGGGCCTGACAATTGGCGCCGCTGTAAGTCAGTAATTAAACGTGTGAGCACCTTCTGCACCCTTGATGTATGTACCCTACCTGTAATTTATCATTGTCCATAATGCCGAGTACTGACATTAAGACATTATTTATTTGGTATTAACTTACTTCGTATCAGTCATTGGTTGTTAAGCAATTCAATATAAAAGCAAAAGAAAAGTGGCTTTTAGCGACTCAATTTTTTTCATATTTTCCATTCAAATTTTGCTAGTGTAATTGTCGCAAATATCATTCGAGAAGTATTTCTTCCCTGCACATAATTTACCTGGTCGGAGTTCGCGAACTCGACACGACAGAAACAGTTTCCAGTCTCTCTGCCACTGTTGTCGAATTGCTTCTAGTTCTTCAGAGTTACAATCAGTCTGGAATATCCCACCCTGGATATGACAGAGTCTTAAAAAACAAAACCCCGTCATCATTGTAGATAATACATAATACAAAGAAGAAAAAGTTCCCTTTTTACAAGCGATGTAAATGCGAGAAGACACTTAATTACGTTCTATTATATATATAGATACGGAAGGGATACACATTTACAAAGCTTCTTCATCCTGGTCATAAAGTCAGCATTTTTACCTTTGGCTTAACCAATGGTTTTACATTGACGCGAAAGACAGATCAACAAAATCCGTGGGCAGGCACGTCTTGTACATTGAGGTGGCACTGGCCAAAACATGGGCGTTGTCTCTAGCAGAAAATTGAACAGGTTGATCCGAATCAGTTGGTGAAATTGGTAACAACAAATGCAAACACGAATTGCTCAATTGTTTAAATAAATAAATTGTGAAATGAAATCAATCTTGACGCTTTTAAGATTATAAGATTGTACAAAATAAATTTTAATACAAATTCAGAGTAAGATGAAGTAGCAAAAAACAATGAATCAAGCTGCATCACACAACTGTTTCGTTCTTGTAGGACTCGTCAGTGATGCTGCATCATACAACTGTTTCGTCCTTCTAGAACTCGTCAGTGATGCTGCATCATGCAGCTGTTTCGTCCTTGTAGGACTCGTCAGTGATGCTGCATCACACAACTGTTTCGTCCTTGTAGGACTCGTCAGTGATGCTGCATCATACAACTGTTTCGTCCTTCTAGGACTCGTCAGTGATGCTGCATCATACAACTGTTTCGTCCTTCTAGAACTCGTCAGTGATGCTGCATCATGCAGCTGTTTCGTCCTTGTAGGACTCGTCAGTGATGCTGCATCATACAACTGTTTGCTGCATCATACAACTGTTTCGTCCTTGTAGGGCTGTTTCGTCCTTGTAGGACTCGTCAGTGATGCTGCATCATACAACTGTTTCGTCCTTCTAGGACTCGTCAGTGATGCTGCATCATACAACTGTTTCTTCCTTCTAGGACTCGTCAGTGATGCTGCATCATACAACTGTTTCTTCCTTCTAGGACTCGTCAGTGATGCTGCATCATGCAGCTGTTTCGTCCTTCTAGGACTCGTCAGTGATGCTACATCATACAGCTGTTTTGTCCTTCTAGGACTCGGCAGTGATGCTACATCATACAGCTGTTTTGTCCTTCTAGGACTCGGCAGTGATGCTACATCATACAGCTGTTTCGTCCTCCTAGGACTCGTCAGTGATGCTACATCATACAGCTGTTTCTTCCTTCTAGGACTCGGCAGTGATGCTACATCATACAGCTGTTTCGTCCTTCTAGGACTCGGCAGTGATGCTACATCATACAGCTGTTTCGTCCTTCTAGGACTCGTCAGTGATGCTGCATCATACAACTGTTTCTTCCTTCTAGGACTCGTCAGTGATGCTGCATCATACAGCTGTTTCTTCCTTCTAGGACTCGTCAGTGATGCTACATCATACAGCTGTTTCGTCCATCTAGGACTCGGCAGTGATGCTACATCATACAGCTGTTTTGTCCTTCTAGTCCTTCTAGGAGCTGTTTCGTCCTCCTAGTGATGCTACATCATACAACTGTTTCTTCCTTCTAGGACTCGTCAGTGATGCTGCATCATACAGCTGTTTCTTCCTTCTAGGACTCGTCAGTGATGCTACATCATACATCTGTTTCTTCCTTCTAGGACTCGCCAGACATGATTAGGGCCTAAATGTTGAAGCCTTTGAGGTGACTGAGTGATCGAAAGAAATATGTGTTCATCGCATTTAATTCAAAATAAACCAAATTGACATTTAACCTTTGATCAACGACCACCACAGTAGAACTCAATATTGGGATATCGTGGTGAGAATAAGAGATAAAACTATTTAAACGTTAGTTCAATATCTTGTACACATCATTATACATGTCTTGAAAGCAGACTTTCATTTTCAAATTTGACAAATCATTTCCATTGTATTGTCATTATCATTTTATGGCTATGATAAAAGTTTAAAACTCCAACAGTTATTGATGAAAATCAGCCTATTATAAGTAAAACAGGGTTTTTGGAAAGGTAAATATCTAGTATTGTAGAATAAAAATGCGGATTATGTGTCTGTCCTATTGCTAGAACAATATATGTATTTGTGTATATTTATTGTATCATGTAAGAATTATGCACGCTTTTAGTCATTTTTGACAGACATGCATCAATACAGACTAGAATTCAGACACACATATGCGGCTAAATCTTTACTTTTCCCATAAAGAAGACATTCTATCTCCAACTGAACATTGTATGATAAATGCTAGTGTCTATTGGTATTTTCCCTATTTTACATTACTTTTCTAATGTACATGTTGACAACTGGTATTAAGTTTGACTATAAAATTTATATCTAAAATTTACTCTGGTATATATGAAGGGCTTATAAGAGTGTGCGTTTTGCTACAACACAAGCTGTTTTATAGTATAAGGGACTGAACGATGTCTTCTGCATGAGGATATTGCTAAGCATCTGGAAATAATCATCAAGTAGTTTTCCTTTTTCAGCCTCGGTTCTGTTTGAGGACAGCCCTGACTTCAAGATATTGTACAACCATGGCCTGGCACATTTCAGAGATCTGTTCACAAAATTTTCTCTCTCCTTGATACCTGCGAGGTCAATAGTAGAAAAATAACATGATAATTCAAAAATGTTGGATCATATCTTTTAAAAGAACCATATTTATTATCAATATTTATCAACTACAAACTATCAAAAAGATTGCAATTCAAACTAAAGTCTTAACAAAGCGCGGCATTGTACCCCACGCCTGGATGTTGGAGCGCACATCAAAACCGATGTAAATATATATAGATAATATGTATCTAATATATATTATGTAAATTCTGATTTGATATTGATTCTCTGTACCTTTCATTGTTAATGATGAACGCGTGTAGAGATTAGATGAACAGTAACCTGGAAAGACTTTGCATACAATATTTTATTTGTTTCTGACATTGTCTCTATGGTAGCATCAAATAAGATGAAAATAAAATCTCACCAATAGTAAAAGGCAAGACTAGAACGCTAGGCTGATATGCTGACAGTTTCGTAGAGGTCTGTTGAATGGTTAAAAAGTTATTATCCCAGAAAACGTTTTAAAAAGGTACTTTTGTATTCCTTACATTGTTTCTATGGTAACAGAAGAAATATAACAAATGAAATCTCATCAATAGCACAAGGGCCAACTAGAGCGATAGCCTGATATAAAGTCTGTTGAATTTTTTTTTTCACGTTGTAGCCCGGAAAAACTTTTTTAAAAATCATATTGTATTCCTTACGATGTTTCTGTTGGAAAATGTAAATGAAGCGTCGCCAATAACACAATGTATGACTAGGGCACTAGCCTAATGCTTTACAAAGTTTCCTAGTAATCAGTCAAACGGGTTTCAAGTTAGAGTTCAGAATAAACCCTTGGGAGGACAGACAGACGCAGCCCACATTTTTCAACATTTTTGGGGGGATAGTTAGAATCACTTTATCATTATCGCCTATTTAAAATATATTTGGTAAATTCATAGACAAGACTTATCTGGACATGAACGTTGTGAATGATCTTACCGTCCTCGTTTGCGAAACCGGGAATTATATGTACGTCTTTCTGGGTACAATCAACCAACGTAAGTGAACCTTTCATGTCTGTGTGGAATGGCTTTATAAGTTCGTTGGCGGTGGGTGAATATGTTATCTTGGAGCTGTTGACAAATTCCTCCTGTATTTATTCAAAGCAGAAACTTGAGTAGTCAACAAACATGTGAAATATTATCAATTAGTGCAATTTACTTGCTTTTATTTGTTAAAAAAACAGGCATTCAAACGCCCGTTACACTGTTATCATAACTTGTGCACATATAACATATTCAGATTTTCTGGTGCGATATCATGACTTTGTTCTTGCAAAGCCACAATGACTTCAACAGATGACTGATTTTGCAGCAATTAGCTTATTAAATTGTCGCTGTATACCATACTACAACAGCACTGAGGATAAAGTAGGTTAGATATTATTATGCATGAAGGATATCCTTGTCCATGAGTGACATATTACGATGATTTCAACGTGGCTCATATCAAAATAAAGATAGGTCCGAGAGCACGCGTACGATATCTGAGGTAAATCAATGTTCAGACCAACGTAAATAAGAAAAAAAACTGAAACCCGGCGTTTTATTGAGATGTTCGGAAGAACAAGTGCCTTTTCTCTCTTGATTTCTTTAAAACATTACATGTATTTACCTGTCTCTGGCCGTCAGATGCAACTATCCGATGGAATAGAAAAGCAAAGGGATTCTATAGAAATACCTCGGTGATCTTTCCACTTTTCAAAAAGTCTTTCCAAGTGCTTGTAAACACATCGTGTATGTCTTCTTCGTCAATATCACTATCCCGGCCACTGTCTCCTGTCACGAAGGAAATCACAACCAAGAATCCCCCTACAAAAATATACCTCACATGGTTATTTACATTTATACAGATACTAATACTGCTAATTAAAACATAACGTTGCAGCACCTAAAAGACAATATTGGCTTCTGAGCATTAATCAATTAAATTTTTTGTAGATTCAGGCAAATTGACATGTTATAGATACATGAATAATCTACAAATTACAATTAGGGATAACAGTCGTCGTGAATGGGAATGCAGAAATGATGCTGTGATATTTAATATTACTCCAGTGTACTACAAATCTATTAAAAGATACATGTTAATATCGACCCTTCTGCTGCCATTCCGTGTTAAGCTTACAGCTGCATGCAGCATGCTTCTGAAAACATCAGATTTTGTGTTGGCCCTTAAAGATTAGAGGTTATAATAGGGGTCGTACAATTACTAACTTGAATTGAATGAAAAGTCTACTATTTGTATTTTCTACTAAATACATATAAGTATCACGTATGAAGAATGAAGCTGAAATTTTAAAAAAGTAAAAAATTGACATATTAGTTCGCAGTCACATAATTTTACGACTGATCAATTTTCACATTTCACAACAGCTTCCATTAGCCAAAATTTTCAAATACTACCATTTAAGAATTTTACCTGGTCGGAGTTCCCGAGCTCGACACGACAGAAACAGTTTCCAGTCAGTCTGCCATTGGTGTTGAAAGGCTTCTAGTTCTTCAGGGCTACAGTCAGTCTGGAATATCCCACCACGGATATGACAGGGTCTTGAAACATTATAAAATAAATATATAATTAAACATTGAGTTTATCACCACTTTCGTCCTATTCGTTTTATCAAGTAATGTCTATTTTATGTAACAGTATTGGATATCCAAGCTTTACTCATAAATTGCAATGATTTCAATACTAAAGAATACATGATATCCCTTTTATTTGAAACGTCGTTGTCCCTCATGACATCTCTTACTTTTTACTGAGCCACTGGTTTGCCATTGACGAAAACGAAATATCAACGAAACCGCTGGGTAGACACTGGCGGTACATTGAGGTCGCGCTGGCCAAAAGGTGAACATTTTCTCTCGTGGATAGCTTGGTAGATGCGTTCGTAGAAGTGCCTGAAAATCATGGATTCAAATAACAAGTCAAATTATTATAAAAATGCTGCGTTGATTTTCAAACAGTGACAAACATGACTTTTAGTTTTGAGTACTAAAGCAAAGGAATGAATATTATTAATTATGTTGTGGGATTGTGATATGTGATGTGAATCTGTTCTTGTTCAAATTATCAATAAGTAAATGTTACAGTACATAGCAACCACATAGTTTATAGAAAATTAGGAGTATTTTTGAGACAAGAGAAACTGAAGTCGTAGAGAGTAATGCAGAAAAGTGACCTACCATGAATCGTTTTGAACAGAACATTGTAATCGTTCAATAATTGATCTTCGTAAACCAGAAGGATTTCTCTTGGATCTTTTGAACTTTGGTTGATATAATCTGAAAGGAAAGAAAATAACGGATTTTGCGCAAAGTTGTTGATATTACGAAGTATTGTGGTAACTCATATACTTCAGCATGTTCTGGAAATAATTTCTGTTTGATAGTAAGATGGATTTGTAATTGCTACAATTGTTACAATACGATATATACCGTCATACGATGAAAGAGTGAACTGAAAGATATGGTCGCAATGATGAAACCTTATTGGTATACTGGTACCTATTACACCGTTAATCAGCTCTAGTGACACGCCCCCGTCAGCAGACCCAAACTCGGCTATACATACGGTTCCGCTGCTATTCCTCTCCGGTCTCAACATATCTTCTTAAAATGTAAAACAATAGTTGTCATTCAATGCAGTTTCCTTTGCTATATGTGATCATTGATATGAAAAGAACTATAAATGACCAAAGTAAAGACTCGATTGACTATAATATGGCCATGCCAGGACGAATTAGTGTACGTTTGAAAATATATGAAATTCAAAATGTATTCTTGATAATAGGTCATCTATTTTTGCAAAACATTGACATCTGTTTTTCTATGTAGTGTCAGCGATGATATTCTTATATCTCGTGTGGTATATATATCAAAATTGGTGTCTCACTTACCCACGCATTGCATCACTTTATCGTTAAATGCCTTTATGACTTTTCTACTGCTCTCCATTGCAGACGAGTACCACTCCTTCCCATGGTGCACAGGTCCTAGATGGTGGCCTTCGGATGTCATCACTCGTGGAGAAGCAATAAGTAAAAATGGTTATCAATATGCTTGTGACCAGAGTAAATAGAACTACGGTATTGTTCTCATACACACGTATACATTTCCCGCTTTTAGTTTTATTTCATATTTACCCTGTGCTGTTGGATAAATCTCTTTAAATATACATATGTTGCATATCATTTTACCCTTTTTCACATAAAGCGGAACAGAATTAAAAGTAAAAAAGGCTAGGACATCTACGGAACAATTAAAGAACGCATCTACCTACTGAATAATATACCTACAAATATATTTGTTTTCTTGCAATCGGAGTAAATATAATACACAAAATCTTGTTTCGTGATGAAGCAAACATATTAATTGAAGCAAAATTTAAAAAAATACCCTGATGTGAAATTTATTACACATTACTTATCCTGAATTAGAAAATCTAGGAGGCGATTGAAAAAAATATATATAAATTCGTCGAAAGAAATTTAAAAGGAGAGGTGTACATTCCGATAACTCAATTTCATAATGTTCCAATATTAAATGATTCCAAAATAATGTTAAGACTGTGTCATGTATTCTGGCCTTCTTCCGATTTCAGTAAGTTGAATAAAAATGTATTTCTCTTTATTAGAAGTACTTACAATAAACGGTAAATGAATACGCATACTTATTCGATACTTATTTGTTAGGGAGCAACATCTTTCATACTTTTTAATACGATGTTGCTCAATTCCTATTTCAGCCCCAACATTTATGAACATTTATAACATTTCCTCCCCATGCTAATGATAGCTGAGCACTACCACGTGAATCTTAACGGCTATAGTTTACATGGAAATCCTTAATTATGGATGAACACCTTTTTAATTTACATTGTACATTGTTGTTTGTAATTTGTAATTACATATGCTTTGTTCTCTAATCGTACACTATGTATGGATGTGTGTACAAAATATGTATATTGAATCTATAATTAAGGTTTATGTAGATAAGCCAAGTTTTAATTGAACAATTTATGCCATCTTAGCCTTGCACATCTAAATTCACAAGTAGGAGATATTGCATGTATTGTTTGTAAACATAGAATTTGGTTATCGAGATTAAGATATGTCATAATAAGGTGGTGCACATGTTATTAGTAATATAAGGTTATGGACATCATCATATGCATAGTCGGAGCCTGTAAGTTAATTACATATAGCTGACCAGTCACGTGTCAACGCAATTGAATTTGATAGGCTGGTGCTTAATTATCGCCAGTGTGTTCAACTTATATTTCGTGGTGTTTTTTACTATAGCCGACGACTTCTGGACGTTGTTTGTGTTAACTCAATTCCGTACGAGTACAGTAATTTCTAGGGACAATGGCTACCCGTGTTCGTCGGACTCGTTCAAAAGGCAGTACTCCATGGAATGATACTAACCCTGCTAATTGGACTACTCAAAGACTGCGCGATGAACTGACAAAGTTAGGCATCCAAGTACAGACAAGTAAAGACAATGTCCTCCTCAGTATGATTGTAAGGACGTCAAGGTCAATTCATGTCAGTTATATGATTTAACTTCACACACCACCCCATTCTGCCCACAGCAAAGAGAGAAAAAGAACAGCCAAAACTACGGGAAATTTAATCAGACTCCATCAAATGACCGAGGTAAATTTCAGAAGACGGACAGAGACACAGATACGCTAGGTCGCCCCAAGATCAAGATTAATGGATCAGAAATTTGTAATAATTTCAATGACGTCATTTGTAGATATGGGGCAAATTGTGGTTTTACTCACATGTGTACCAAATGTAAAGCCACAAATCATGGAGCTAAGGCTTGCCGGAAAAGCAGTCGGAGGAGTCGAATCAATGGCTTAAGTGTGACAAAGCTAGCACCATGATTAATGTTATGGTACTTAAATCTGAGCTACAGCAGTATCCAGACAGAGATTTTGTTAATTATTTGTGCAACGGTCTTACTGAAGGCTTTGACACTTTAGTGTCCAATGTAGTTTTGTATACCAAACATTGTCGTAACTTACAATCAGCTCTTAAAGACGAATCAACGGTTACAAAATTGATAAAGAGGATTGTTCCTTGTCCTACGTCCGTATCGAAGACGCCATTAAAATCATACAGGATTTAGGGAAAGACACAACTATGTGCAAGACAGATATATCGGACGCCTTCCAGCTGATACCTATACACCCGTCACAGTGGCATCTTTACGGTATTTGTTGGAAGGGGAAATTTTACCATTATTTTACCAGCATTCGGTGGAGGTAGCGCCCAAAGATATTTGACAATCTTTCTAGGGCGGTGTGTTGGATTGCCCAGAATAATTATGGAATCAAGCATATACTACACCTCTTAGATGATTTTATCACTTTTGAAAAGCCAGGAAAATGTGGTGAATACAACATACAGTGTTATATCATATTTTCAATTCCCTGAACATTCCTATGGCCCTTCACAAGACTTGTGGACCAGAGAATGTACTTGAGTATTTAGACATCATCTTAGACACTCAAAAGATGGAACCTCGACTACCCACTGATAAGCTTCAAAGGGATACAGAAATTTTAAAGTCATTCCAGTCGCGGAAATCTTGCACAAAACGGGAAATACTACAACTGTTAGGTCCTTTGAGCTTCGCTAGTAAGGTAGTGATCCGTGGGAGAAGTTTCGTTTCCCACATTATCAAACTGTCTACTACTGTAAAGGCCTTACATCACCATATTAGGATATCTAAAGATTGTCGCGAAGACATTGCTATGTGGTTAACTTTTCTGTCCAATTGGAATGGAGCTACCATTTTCTGCAGCCAGTATATTACTAGGAACGAAGATATCGAATTGTACACTGATGCATCAGGATCTCTAGGGTTCGGAGGATACCTGAATGGATTTTGGTTTGCACAGGAATGGCCAGATACTTTTAGAGATTATATCGATAGTTGTCCATAGCGTTCAGGGAGCTTTACCCCATTGTAGTGGCAGCAATGACATGGGGTCATAATAGGAGGGGCTTGCGTATAATGTTTCGGTGCGACAATACTGCGACTGTATCTATTCTGCAAAAAGCACGCTCTAAAGCTTATCATATCATGCCTCTCATGAGGCGCTTGACTTTGTGTGCAGCAATAAACGAATTTGTTGTTATGGCACAGCACGTCCCTGGCAAACGTAACTTAATAGCTGATTCCCTGTCTCGTTTACAGAGGGCAAGATTCAGACTGCTGGCCCCGGAAGCAGAACGTTTCTCATGTCCAGTTCCTCATCCGTCGGAAGTTCTATGGCGCTCGGACCAGTAGTGCAAGAACTTTGGGAGTCAGCCATTGCCCCCAATACTAGACAAGAGTACAATACAGGATTTTCCATGTTTATACAATTCTTGCTGATGACAGGGATGATTGCCAGTGCCGTTTTTACGGATATACAGGTATCAGAAGACATGTTGATTCATTTTGAGGCCCACTTTCATAGCATCAATCTTTCATACGCTACTATCAAACTGTACTTATGTGGTATACGGTTCATGTGTCTTCAACACAACATTAAATTTCCTGAGTACGCCAACTTGAGACGTATGCACGCAGTAATGGGAGGAGTGAAACGTACACACGTTAAAAGTAACAAACCTCGTTAACCTTGTTACGTTCAACATTCTTAAGAAAGTCTGTGAGTATTTACGTAAAAAGGCCCAAGTGCTTCGGGACTTGATGTTGGAGACCGTTTGTGTTGTGGCGTTCTTTGGTTTTTTAAGATGTGGAGAATTCACTGTAAGCAAACCATTTGACCAATATACCGGTTTATGTTTTCAAGATTTAGTTATAGCACCAGACTGTGTTTTTCTACACCTCAGGAGATCTAAAACTGACCCATTTCGAGAAGGTGTGACCTTAAAATTGTTTAAGATTGATGGAATTATATGCCCCTATGCATCCTGCTGTAGCGGTAAGACAACGTCAGAGACCGGCCCCTAATGAACTATTGTTCATTATGGACAATGGGCATGCCCTAACAAGAACAACTGCATTTATCTCTAAATTCAAACATGTGTTGGAGTGCTTAGGTATCGACTCAGAGCATTATAACGGGCATTCTTTCCGTATAGGAGCGGCCACTACAGCAGCGACAGTTCACGTGGAAGACCATCTTATCAAAGTTTTAGGGAGATGGTCCTCAGACGCTTATTGTCGATATATTAGGACTCCACAGTCTTCTATAAGAGAGGCGCAGAGTGCACTTACATTATCAAAGTGACAGTTTTTTCACAGAGAAAGGTTTTCCAGTATGTATTGCTTGTATAAGATTCTGATGGGTACAACTTCCACTCCTTTTAATCACCTACCCTGTTAATAATCAATTCTATCTAATCTCATATATGGTACAAATTATAGGGCACTCAGCTATATTATTCCACAATACATCTAAGTTTGGCTTTGGTTTTCACTCGAAATTGGAAGGCAGACTTTTGGTTTACAATTTCTCTTAACACTACCCCTTAGATTTGTTACATTGGCTCACGCTGTTTTATTCATATTATACCACTAGTTATTTGCACTGGAGCAATGTAGCCTAAACACTACAGCCAGTCTATTCCTATGTAGTGGGACCATTGTAAACAAATGTTTAGGTACTATCCAACACTGCACTGGAGCAATGTAGCCTAAGCAATACAGCCAGTCTATTCCTATGTAGTGGTACCATTGTAAACAAGTGTTTAGGTACTGTCCAACACTGCACTGGAGCAATGTAGCTTAAGCAATACAGCCAGTCTATTCCTATGTAGCGGTACCATTGTAAACAAATGTTTAGGTACTATCCAACACTGCACTGGAGCAATGTAGCCTAAGCAATACAGCCAGTCTATTCCTATGTAGTGGTACCATTGTAAACAAATGTTTAGGTACTATCCAACACTGCACTGGAGCAATGTAGCCTAAGCAATACAGCCAGTCTTTTCCTATGTAGTGGTACCATTGTAAACAAATGTTTAGGTACTATCCAACACTGCACTGGA